AAGCACGAGACAGTGTATATAGCTATTGCTATAGTTTTAGCTCACAAATACTACAATGATGATGTTTAAACAGGTGATGACCTTAACGAGAGTAAAGATTTCTTCATACTTACTATATACTTTGACTTGTATCTTGTCTCTCTTCTCTCCCACTTGTCGGACTTTGTTTGTCGCTAGTATGCTTTCACATTTTGTACACCTATTAGTTTTGTTATTTCAGCATATGCTACCTTTTGTTTTGTTTGTCTGTGTAATTACATTTCCACTATCTGCTGATAATTTAATTGTACCTACGTAAATTTCCGTACTACTTACTAGGTTTGTATAATTATTTATAATATTTTTGGGTATTTGTCTCGTTTTCTTTTGTGCAATAAGGAATATTTATTATTACTATTATTATCAATGATATTACAAAAAAAGGGTAGATAGGTCATGCCAGTACTAATAGGGGAAGATTAGGACCATTCGTACACTTTTTAGTCAATGATTTTTAAAATATTGATAATCAAAGATAAATTACTCAATTTCTTATTAAAACATAAAGCATACTTTCTGCTCCTTATTTAAAAAGTTCAATGTCGATATCTTGTATAATATATCAAAGGATTGAATTTTACTAAAAGCTAATGAAATGTCTGAATCTACCCCTATTAAGGGGTACAATCGTACATGGGCCGGGGAACATTCAGACAGTGTGGTAACTTCATATATATTAAGTAAAACAACAAATGAATTAAAAAAATCGTTTTCATTGATCATAAACTTATCAACGAAGTGATAAACTAAACGACATATAGGCTTAGAGTCTAACTATCTTTTTACGAAAACCGTGCATCCATTCTATATCAGCGAAGCCAGTTTCATAACAATTTTGCAAACATTTATATTTCAAAACTTTATCATAATCATTTTATAGTGTTGTGACTTCCAATATAGTGAGTCCGAAATGTGTTTATGAACTTTTTCAATTGGTTAATCTTTTCAGTAAAACAATTTGTTTTTTACTATTTAAAAACACCTTTTACAGACGCAAAAAAACTCATTTAATTAATATTGGGAACGTGTCTGCCTTTTCTTCTTAAAATTCCGATATTTTTTTCTAAATTTTCTGATATAATAATAAAAATTGTTTGGGGAGGTACATACATACGCGTACGAATGTGCCCTTTCTGGAAATGTACGAACGTGCCCCGAAGATCAATAATAAAATTATTTTTTCTAACACAAAACCCACGTAGAAAAATACCTATAATAGATATATATTATTATCTTAATCGTATTCACTTACGATTAAGCAATAATTCAATAAAATTTGACGTATGATTAAAGCACGGAAGATCCAAAAACATTAACAAAATATTTACTATGAGCATGCCAAAACACTTTAAGTTCTCTAGTTTCGCTCGCAGTGGCTGCATATGTGGCTAACTTCTTAGACAACTGGCAGTCGCCGGCGCCTATCCACTAACACAAAGTCGTAATAAATAGGCTTTTCTACAAGATGTAGTAGTGACTGTATGAAGGTTCCCTGTGTACGAATGGTGCCAAACTTCCCCTACGATCACAGGTCACTAAATATAATACGATGTCAAAAATTTCTCCCAGCATACACACACTAACATACACACAAACACACACATAACACGATACTCTACAATTATTCATAGACTATAATTAACATGTCACAGACCAGACGTATAATATAATGATTTAATGCATGTATAATGACTTCGATTAACAGTTTAACTTAAAAATTTTGATGTTTAAAATTATTATTTCTCCTTGTCGTTGGTATATATTATTTGCCCGTGTATAAATAATGAAGCTTTTCTAGTGATAATAAAATAAACCTAACTCTGATATATAATATGTATAATAACACCCTTTTTATTGTAATGTCATAGATTATTATTATTTCCATTTCATACGCCGAGAGAGTTTGAGTACCTACTAACCACCTGAAACGGTTGAAACGCTCTTTCTGTGAGGTAACATTTGCCCAGCTGTTTTCACGTGAAAGATAAAAACGTAATAACTTTCCTAACAGTATTTAACTAAGTTGACTACATTTCCACCAGCGGCTGCGCCCACGTGATCCCTAGGGAACTGTTTATTTGGATATTGATTCATATCATGACACGGATATGATTACAATGTCATTGAATTATAGCAATGGTTGTTATGGTAACGTTTTCATTCACTATACAAATTTCCACTCCCATTTTCATGTCTTTGTTTGCTGTTTTTCGGGATAGATTAATATTCTATCTATGATCTTGATCACCACATATGATATAGTTTCCTGTAAGTGAAAGAATTTTTAAAATCGGCCCAGCACGCGTAGCATGACGAACTCGAGAACGTTTTGTCTACACTCAAATGTTACTTTTCTCGGTGCGCTCATACAATATCCAATTTATTTATTTATTGGCACATAAAACAAATTACAGACATATATTTAATAAAATATATATATATAAACATTACACAGGACCATAATTCTTAATATTATGTACACATAATTAACCTTTTATTTATATAATAATCAAGAAACGGATAATCTATAGTAATGAGTGAATTAGACATAAAACAATAATATAATCATAATAAATTACAACAAATCAAAATCCGATCAAATCCAAATAATTCATTAATTAAAATTGATATTAATAAACAAAATAAAATCCAAATAAAAAAAATAAAAATAGCTAGGGAAATTAATTCATATGACATTATAACCCGTCTCACCGAGAAAGTTAAAAAATAAAAATAAAAAATTATAAACAGCTAATATTTTCCAGTACTACTCTTTTAAACTTTTGCAAATTTAGATGGAATATATCTAGACGATGACATTTGGAGGATATATGGTTGAATGTGCGACACATTCTGTCGATCGGGTTAGAGAAGGATGTATTATTGGTGCAAACCTTGAGAACAAAAGGTTTCGGATTACGGGATTAGTAATCGAATATTAAACTGTATTAATATTAAACTTAAAGTGGCGATTAGCGACAATACGCTATTGATATCTCTGATTACGTTTACGTTACTATATCTAAATATACATAAAATAAATACAATAATAAACATACATATACATACATAAATAAATGCATATATATATATATAGCTATAACACAAAGTACGAAAAAGGTGTCAGATCAAGAAAACTTGTTTGAAGCATAATAGAAGTTGCGAGCTGCTGTTTTGAATGCAAATTTGTTAGGAGCACTCCGGACGTTCAAAGGCAGTGCATTCCAAAGACGGATGGCGGTTAGAGTGAAGGAATGAGATACAAAACAAGAATGATGAGAAGGTGTTTGGAGTACCAGTCTACTACTAGAACGAAGATTTTTCAGGTGAGAGGCACCGAGGATTTCAAACCGCGATTTCAAATACTCAGGTGCTCGTGGATCGAAAAGTATCTGGAAAAGTGTGCAAACAATCCTTAAGCACCTACGCTCCCGAATAGGAAGCCACTCAAGATGTTGACGAAAATTGGAGATGTGGTCATATTTGCGCAGACCGAAAACAAAACGAAGAGTATTGTTCAGAAGACGATCCAATCTATTACCCAAGTAGCACAAAACACCATTATATCAAACTTAAAATAGCATGAGTCCAAGCGTTAAGCATTATAAGAAAATCGTATATCAACCGTATTTCTTTTAAACGACTCTTATAGATAAAATTTGGGCCCCCCCTTTGTACGACTTTAAGCTTTATAAAAGCTGTGCAATAGCACTACAAATTTTGTATAATAGCATTAATAAAGTCGGGTAAAAGCATTCTAATAGCCACAAAAAGTTCAATTAGCACCTTAAAGTGCTAATTGAACTTTTCGTGGCTATATTACAATTGATATGCGGCAATCAAAATTATAATACGTAATTTAATGTTATTAAAATGCTTTCTGTTTTATTTTCTTCGTAAAAAAGTATATTTAATAGATTTTAAAAATATATAATCGGTTTAAGTTATTCTTTTGTGTAAGTGTCATGACATGTTCTGTTGGCTGGTGTTTTAAGTGAATTTTAATATTGAACAGGTGAGTACTAACATTTATACAGTTCGTTATGAGTGAAATAAGCTGCAAACATCAGTTTGTCGAGTAAAATATACAAGTTTATGGTGTAAAATACACGCGCCTTCGCAAACTTCATTTAATATAATAAAAATAATAGAAAACTTAACCTAGTAGCAAAAAGTTTTGCTGAATTTTAAGCTTTTAGCATTGTTTTAACAACATAATTGCTTTTATAGGCATCTGTGCACAAAATAAATGATTATTAACCCCTTTTCATCGGACACAGTTGATTTTAAATATTATTGTAAGAAACGGAAAAAGAAAGCAAATGGCGATTCGTAAAATTAAAGCATTAGGTATTCAAATATTGTGTAGTAAAGCTGTTAATTGTATTATGGTTAGACACAAAACTAAGAGCTCGTAATTCACCGTATAACACACTCCCATTTTAGGTTTAGGCGTATTTTAACACTTCAGAAGTATCTTATAGTGCTTATATTCATTAAACGCCACAGTGACGGATTGATACCGAGCTAAGTAGGGTTCCGCGATCATATGGTAAAAACCTTATTAGCCAAACTGAAACCAAATTCAAAAGTAGTCGAATAATACCATACTAAAAACAATTGACGATTTTAGTCGTTTTTACTATTCTTGTGCAATCTAAATCACTTTTTAATAGATAAGTACTGTCATTGTCAACCGCGCAATGTTCACTTCATAGTGTCGCCCTCCCGCCATCGTCGCATGCCGCGCCGCGTCCTTCTCCCCGCCCGCACTCTGGCCCGCAGTCAGAAACTGACGTGGTAGAGAGCGAGTCGCGTCGAGTATTCCATTTTCAAACGTGCACGCTTAAAGAGTATTGGTACGTACCCATGTAGGTACCTAATAAATACTTATCTAGTGAAATCAATTTGGACTGCCACTACTGATATTTACATGTGTTCATTTTAATTTCAGAATCAACATGTCCGGGTTCAAAATTGTCCAGACTCTAGAAAAGGGTTCAAACAGATTATTTATAATTCCAAGTAAATGGGAACACGGAGGTTTACTTCGCTATCCTAAAAAACCCATTGAATACAAATTAGCAAAAAATGAAAATTCAAAGCCGCGGGACGAATGGCCAATTATGTCGTGCAAGGTGAAGCGTATTGGCTTACTTACCTATGCAGATGCCGAGGAAGAGCTAAATATTATGTTGCAAAACAGCGACACAGATGTCGGCGGTCATGAAGACCAACGACTTTACACTATTACAACAGCAGCGCCGCCGCCGACATCTAACATTAGTACGAATTATAATGATATGGCGAGTCACCTAGTAAGCAACTTTTATTATTACGACTAGACTTGCATTTCTTTCCTGAAAGTAGTTTCATACATGGTGATAGGTTTACACGTGAAACTGATGCATGAAAGTATGAAAGTAGTTTCGCGAAAATAATTTCATGCAATTACTTTCGTAATGTAAATTTAGCTTAGCGCTCCTTTTACGAACGACGCGACGGACGAAATTTGTGATTTTTGAGGCTCTAGATCTAATAAACGGAAACTTTTAAAGTAAATCTATATATTGAAAATGGTAGATGCAATATTTTTGTAACTTTTTATCAACGTGGATTTTGATTTATATTATTTAATATTTATTTATAACGATTGAACGAAACCCATATTTAATAAACGACCAAATTTTGAGGTCTCGGATCTCACCAATCGAAAAGTATTAGATTATACTAAGTACATTTGAAATATCTTACCATGTTTTTTCCTCAACATGGATTTTCAAATTACTTTGTATTTGTTTTTTAAATAAGTTGAAATGTGGACCAATATTTCAGGAGAAATTGTCTAAAATAAACGTCAGTATACTTTTCGAGCAAAATCTTAACTAAAATATACTTTCATCATTTACAAATACATTCTTAAAGTTTTTATAGTTATTTAAGCTCTAATAAATAAATGTCAAAATTTTAAACCAGTAAAAATCTCAGTCGCCATCTTGCAAATTCAATATTCCTCTTCAAACAGTAGGTGGGGCGGTGTCATTTGTAAAAGGAGCCTTAAGTGTAAATTATGTTCGTATCTTATAATTGTAGTCAGATCTAAACGAGTGTGTATACAGTCAGTAACATATAAAGCTTTACACTTTGGACTTTGTACCGCTCTTAGTTCGTGCGCGATACGAATCAAATTTGCGTTGTAACTGTAAAGCTTGATGTGCTCTCGAGAGTACAAAAACAAGTAAATTATTGTAGGTACTTATTGTATGTAAAATAGTACGTAGTAACTTTGAAAGTAAGTATCTACCTATGTGTGTATGTATTTTTATTTTCCTTCTATTCTTTTGTTTCCTTAATATGTTAGATTCCATTGTTTGGTCTGGTTTAAATATTGTTTTGCTGTGGACGTCCCTTGGTTGATATGATGATGATGATGATTGGCTCAGGTGTACTTCCTGGACTGGGAGCTAGGACCCAGACAAATATAGTCTGTTCCAATTGCTTCTCTTCCCGAGCATACTATAGAAGTCAATATTGTAGGTGTACGTGTTGTAATGAAAGCGATAGGCTGACAACTTATTACTTTAGCGCACAGTGTAGTATTATAAAGTAATTCATCATTTTGTAACCCATATCACAATTTTTACTTATCAGATGATAAGTAGCTTGTATTTGTATTGCAAAGTTCCATTGACTGGGGGATAACTGTCAACTTCATCATACTATAAAAATGATAACTATAATATCCTCAGGTTAAGGTCTTTGTGTCATCTACCATGGTTGTTTTCATTACAGATGCTTCAAGCACAAGTTGATGTATGTCCGACAACGACGAAATCATCTACAGCAATATTAGCACCGCAAGCAGATCAAGAACAGTATTTTTATGTAAATAATATAGCAACAACTGAAATTATACCACCTCCTTCATCTCATGATCAATTTGATATAATGCAGAAACTCGATACTATACTTACAAACCAAAACGACATAAAAGAAATCCAAAAAAGATTCGCGCAAAGACTGGGCAATTTTGTTTTAGAAATGGAAACTAAAGTAGAAGAAGTCATCAAAAGAACTTTGAATCATACCATCAATCGAACTGTTACTTCTTTAGATGAGGCAAAAGCAAGTCCTTATGAGAATAGTGCATTTAAATTAAAGCCTATAAATAATATTGAGGAACTTGAAGAGTTTGAATTATTATTATTAGATCCAATTGAAAAACATAAACTCATGCAGTTGCTTTCAATCCTGTGCACGAAATCAGATGGAAATGGTATAACATGCGCATATAAATTAATTGATATTATTTTTACTAGAGAGTTCTTGTGTAAATGTTCGTGGTCGGGTGGCAGTAGGGGTGACAAAATAAAAATAGCATTGAAAGGTTACAAGAATTTACTTGATTTCTTCTTCAGGATGATTTTATCATGGGACAAAAGTTTTACAACCGATAAAAATGAAAATTTTTTCAAGTTAGTACTAAGAAATGCCGAACAAAGGAAAAACATCAAAAACTTGCGAAAACCTGCAATGAGAACACGTAAATCAAAAACGCAAACGAATAAAGAGGAGACGGTAACTAGTAATGAAAAAAAGGATGAGCAAGTAGTTGAGAATGAATCGGCTGTAGTAAATGCAGAGAAAGAGAAAGATTTAGAGGAGATGGAGAAAGACTCAGAAAAAGAGGTGCAGAAAGACTTAGAGGAAGGGGTAGAAAAAAACTTAGACGAAGAGGTGGAGAAAAACTTAGACGAAGAGGTACAGAAAAACTTAGAGGAAGAGGTGCAGAAAGACTTAGAGGAAGAGGTGCAGAAAGACTTAGAGGAAGAGGTGGAGAGAGACTTGGAGGAAGTAGTGGAAAAGAAAAGAAAAAAATAAGCAAGTTGCCGCAATGATTTTTTTTCGACGGTCGCCGGCCGAGTTTGTTTTTAGTTTCCTCACTTACGTTGGAAAAAGTTATTTAGTTTGATGACTGATTATGATTTCAAAATTATTTCTTAACATAAGTTCACGAAATTATGAGTAACTATTAAAAATATTTTTTTTTCTTATTGTAAATTACTTATTTTAAAAGCGTTTTCTTAGTAATAAGCTAACAAGTAATTTCATAATTAGGTAAATAAGTAACCCAACTAACTAGTTCAACAAAATCTTGTGTCTGTGATTGATTTTACTAAGGTACAAAATAAGAATTCTTGTTATTACATACTTAAGTTTTAACTTAGGTACTATATCATACCTTGTTCGACGTACCTAATCTTGTTATTGATATAACGAAATACAAAGTTAAAATACTCATATTGTAATAATTTAGTTTTCACTTAGGTTTCATTTTAACAATAACAAAATCTTGTGTCTGTGATTTAGATTAAAATAAAAAAAAAAGTTTAATACTTTTTCTTTTATTTAAAAGAAATATCATTTAGACCTAACTTTCTTTTAACTTAAATTAGAGTGTGCAATAACGGTACAAAAAAGAGTTCATTTTGGTATTCATTACAAACTAATTTGAATTTTACATCATGGGGAGAAAAATCTTTCAAAGTTTGTGCCCGCTGATTTAAACTTGATTTATATATGTTCAAATAGCTTGATTTGATCGGTTTTTCAAAAACATTATTCAGTCTTGTAATTGTACAACCACGTAATGTAATCTCTTTGTTTTGACTGTGTACTTCCCTTAGTTCAATTATTTCATCACACTTGCTCATAAAATATTTATCTTTCTTTTGTGTTGAAAGTTTAAACTCTTTGAAATGCACTTCTACGTGTTTTTTCATATTTTTTATAATAACAATATCTGTTCCTTTTTCCCTATAACGATTTGTCTGTATTCCTTCTTCTTCGCTAAGTCTTCTTGCAGCCTGAGCTAACGGATGGTTTCCTTCTCTCAGCATTCTTTTAATTAAATAAAGCTTATTTTCAAATGGATAGGAGCTAAATGTATGAAGAACTCCAAATCGTTTCACTTCGTCAACAACATGAACTAAGTTATGGACATTGCTTGTAATACAATCAGCTCCGTAGAAATCTTTATAGTGATCTACAAAATATAGTAGTAGTTCTTTTGCTAAAGGTAAAAGGATGCCGTAAATTTTATGGGAACATATAATGACACCACAAAATAAAAACAGAAAATGTGTGTAAGCTTCGGCGTTTAACACACATGGAAGAATAATTATACTCAGATAATAAAAAAAAGTCCTAAATTCTGAGCCCTTCCAATGCGCAAGATAATCCAGTCCTCTCATTGACCGGTGAATTTCTGATGGCAATTGGGTTTGATTTAAAAAGGTTGTCACTAGTTCTATATCTCTCGAGCACCATTTGGTATGTTTTTTAATAAAGCTACCGTCACGCCAGCCCAGCAAAAGCCTCTTCATTATTCCTAGATCCAGCAAATGTAAGGAGTCTCCTATTGGAATATCTTGAACTATGTCTATTGGTAGCTGCAGTAACGGAGAGTCGACTTTATGATGCGACCCATATAATTTACGACGAAAGTCGTCATCTTTTCTTTCTGGACATCTACTGTGAGGAAAAACGACAGTATGGGATTGGTGCGAATATTCGCCTATCGTTGTACATTTCAGGCAACCGTCTTTTCCGTTAAAATTGCAGACACCTGTAAAAAATAAATATTATGTGACCAAACTCAAGAGTACACACACAAAAACGTACAAAAATGTCAATAATAAGTACCTAATAAGTACAGAACATTCAAATTCATCATCATTCAAATATCTAAACACATAAAATACATCAACAAGAGTAACTTAACATCATGTATATTTTACTGACCCTTTATATAAGCTCTCGCAGGGGAATCACAAATGAAGCATCTTATAGCCACCGTTATTATTTTTTCTCGAATAGTAAGACCATCTTTTAGCAGTACTTGAATTTCATTTATGAAATCTTCTAGGTAGCTATTTAAATCTTTGGGTTTTTTTCTCCATAATATAAACCAATTACAAACGGTTCCCTATTAATTTCATGAACATTGCACAGTATCGGCCAGAATTCTTTTTTCGAGCTATTGAATATTGGCAGTCCATCAATATTTATATTCAACGTAATTTTGGTTATAGCTTCTGTATTTAATATCTTTTTTAGAGGTTCAATAATGCCATTGTGCCAATATTCCCCTGGTTCTACCACTTTAATATCAATTTTTCTCGGAGTTTTTAATAGTGTCCTGGGATCTTGGGGAAAAATTTCAGGAAATCGATCATTTAATATTTCTGCTAAGTCTCTTAAAGCACTTTGTGTTATATTTTTGACAATAGCCCATTCCCTTATCTTATTTCTAAAACTTAAATTTTTCATGTGATCTGTACAATTAATAGATTCTTCATCATCCGTAGAACTGTAGTCTGAAATGAATAACCAAAATAGATATTCCTTATAATAGTTAAAGGATGGAACCTACCACCTACTCACATATTCATAAAAACTGTAGGTACCAACTTATATACCTACAGTACGGGGCAGTTAATATTCCACAGTGGCTTTGTAGAGCATTATCCGTCTACAACGACTAGCAAACGTCACTGTGTTTTTCCAAAAGGCAATATTAACGGCCGCCCTGAAATCTTGACATATATATATATATATAAGCAAATTTTATGTAAACTTATATCATATACTTATATGATACAAGTTAATTTATAGTTTATATAAAATTTGCTACGGAACCCCTTGACGACATTGTTTGACTAGTACTTGACTAGTTAAAAATTATATTTTTTATTATTAGATGAGATTTATTACCTTCAGAAACACATTTAGGAATTACACTCGCAACACAATCTTCTTCTTCAATTAAATCGCCTACGGAATCCTTTGACAACACTACTTGTACTCGACTGGTACTTGGCTCACACAAAACCTCAGATACATCTTGTGATTTTTGTTTGTCAGGAACAACGATTATTTCTTTTTTATTTTGATTATTAAAAGCTTCAATTAAATTAGAATACTCTTTTTTTAGTTTTCTTTTATATCCACCGGTTTTCTTTGTCTTTTTCCAACGTTTTTTGTCCATGGCGTCAGCGATGCGTATAAAATGCAATACATAAAATATTTTTACATTTTCATTTTTACATAAAATATAATTACGATCTATTTATTACTTGTATCTTTAAAAATATCTTAATTTAGATCAAAATATAGCCTAATGTTTAATAAAAGCATAGATTAAGAAGATGAAGGAGCTTGAGCTTGATTAAAGAATACTTTAAGAACAAATCGGTGCTAAAGTTTTACTTGTTCTTTATTCAATGTGTATATGGGACAAGCATTAAATCGATACAACCATAGGCCATTAGAAAAACTTTGTTTCTAGAAAATGACTAAATACAAGTAAGTGCACTAAATAATATTACATTAATGCTTATATAATATATAATGTTTTTCTAATCACCGAAATACGATAACAGCTTTATATTAATATTACCCAATACTTAAATAGGAGTTTTGACAGTGGTATACTTTTTTTAATAACCATAATATGGCATTAAGCATTATGAGATAAAATAAATGCCTTTAAACAGATTCGAAACTTGACCAGTGCTGATTAAAAATGTTAGTATGACTGTAGGACATAAATCCGTACTTATTTTAGTTATTATATTATTTATGTGCTACTTGGGTAAGAAAGGTTTGATTGATATCAGAAGTACAAACATCAGCATAGCGAAAAGGGGATGTACAAGAGCTCGGACGAGAGCAGACTTAGTACGGGGAGGGAGAAAGTTCTTAAGTCGATAAAGCGAGCCGAGGGTGCGATGGATTTTACTGCAGACGTTGTCCATCTGATCATCCCAGTGCAAAGTACTGTCAAAAACAAGCCAAAGATTTTTTACTTTAACATCATAAGGAATCACCGAGCCAGCATAGGTAACAGCTGGAATTGTGTCGAGGTTAGTTTTCCGATATTTGTCGGGAGCTACCGATAATAATGGCCTGACATTTGTTGGGATTGACATAAATACCGAAGTCATTTGACCATTCAAATACCCGCGCAAGATTTTGGTTTAGTGTACATATGGCTCTATTAAGGTTGTGAATGTCATCCTTAGCATATCATCGGCGTACAGGTGATAAGAGGTTGTAAAAACAGAGGTGAGTAAGTTAATAAAAATTGAAAAGAGAAGAGGAGAGAACACACCGCCTTGAGGGACACCAGCAAACAAGTTATACCAGTTAGAAACTGAATTACCCACTCGTACTGCCTGCTGGCTTGTATTGTACTAAATTTACTGGTTGACTGGTAGAGAATGCCTTTTGGCATTAATTCCGCCATTTGTCTATTTCACTAGGCAATTAAGATTAAATAAATATCCCACTTTCGACCTTCTCGAGTTTCTCGAGTTTGTCATGCTACACGTGGAGTAGTTTCGGAGTCTATTCGTTGCAAACAAACAAACAGACAATTTTTCCTCTTTATAATATTAGTATAGATTGGTTGTAGGTCAGTGTTTTCCAATTTCTAGTCCTCGGTCCCCTGGGGGGCTGCGAGTATATGACAATTGAACGATTAACTACTAAAAAATAATAACTAAAAATTTTAAATAGGCAAATGCCTTTCAAATAGTATAAAAAATTAAGAGTCCTAACCTAAACACGGCGAATGTTCACCACCAGTAATAAAATACAATATTAAAATTAACCCAAATATCACCGATTATTTTGGTATAACTAGCACCATCCATATACATAGGTACATTACGATAATTGTGCATACCATATATTTTTAATTTATTGTCGTTTAAAGTAAAAAGAAGCTGATGTGATCGAAAATTCTCTCCAACGTAGAAAGCGATAAGTGTTAGTGTTCGGTTTCAAAATGCGTTACAAACAAAGTATTGAATATGGTAATACAACTTTATTCATTTCCCTAACTTGGAAAAAAATAAAATAATCGAGGGTAGACAGACGGTCCCTGAGAGTTGTCTGTTGCAACTCCGCCGCCATAGCGAATGGTCGATCCCGCAAGGTTCCATTCCAACCAAATCTTAAAGCGCGAAAGTGTATACAGCAAATACTTAGAAAATCAACGCTGTGTGAAGGGGCAGTAGGACGATTACAATATTATACCAGAACAACGCGGGAGACTTACGACCAGCGGCTTAATACCCTGGGCTGTCGAAGAAACTAAAAGCAAGTCCAAAATCCTTTCTATTCCAGACAGATATATTTGTCAAAAATAAAACTACATACTAATTAATTTTGCTTATACATATTTATTTCAATAAAGTTATCATTTTACCAATGTGTTTATAATTAGGCAGGTCTTATAAAATTTATTTATAATTAAATAAATGTAACGATGACATCGACCATTTATAAATAAAATATTATAATTTAATAATGGAAGAACTAATACATTTTTAAAATGATTGATCTAAAACTGTATTTTTTTATATTAATGTGAAGAAAACACCACAATAAATATAACATTATGTCGTTGGTGCGTCACTTTATTTACGTAGGAAATTTTATAATTTTGCTTTTTACCTACTATTTACTACATCTAAGTAGAAATGTGTTCAAAATTTAAAATGTGTTATTATAATTTGTTCAAAGTGTTTGTTATAAATGAATTAAGTGAACATAATTATTTATTCTACCTCTATTTCATTAAATACTTTTAGAATTTAATGTGGAAGATTACCTTAATATAACTACGAATATTCATTTTCAATACATTGGACGTGGTAAGTATAAATAAGTTTTAGGTACATACCTAATTGATCATTGTGTAAAAAAATTAAGACCTTTTATGTCATTATCAGAGTAATATTGGTCTGTGGAGTATATCTTTATACTATGTAGAGTTATATAGTGTAATATTTTTCATTACATTAAGCATTCAATGCTATATAAATATTTATAAAAAATACTTGAAAATTATTAACTTTAAAATTCCCTTTCAGAGCTAACCGAAGAGGTAATTTCCTTCAAGTATTTTTTTTTATTCTTAGAATTTAAAAACTAATATACACAGTACACTAATTACCTATCAGAAAAACTGAACAATTATGATTCGTGACGTGTTACCACTAACCACAATTGTTTAGATAATATTTTTTCAATACATTTCAGTTTAGCGATTTAATGTTGGATTCTTAAAAATCAATATTATTGGAACCTGAATAGGTAATTGAACCATTGTTTTTTTTCTGATACGTAATTAAAATATTATGATATATTGGATACTTAACCGTAATTGTGGCCAGCCACGATTAAAAATTTTATTATTTGAAGTTTTAACTTCAAAGTAGACACTTCTCATGAGATCATTAAAAAAATCTCTAAATGATAGAATCTGTGTCTCCATAGTGATTTGATCTTTACGAAACAGCGTAGTGGTTATATCACTAGTAAAAATTCCATTTTGTACTTAACTCTAGATAATTGTTGTGAATTTATTATAGGTATTCAATAACATTATAACAGAAAATGTTATCTATCACTTACTTATTTGTGCGGTCTACAATTACTTATGGATAGTATTGCTGTTATAAGTTGGTATACATAGGTGTATTTTACGCTAATTAATTAAAATCAAATTTCAAAACTTTATTTGTAGTTTGAATGTCAAATTTAAAAATGATCTAAACGTCATAGGTACTCGTAGTTAAAATCTACGGTGCAATTTCTTCAAAAGAAATACATTAATGAATGTAAACATATTACCCGGTAAGTTAAATCTTTTTAGTAAAGCTTGCCAAATCTTTTGTCTTAGACAACTTTCATTTTCATTTCTTTTTCAACAATTCATCAAAAATTAACCCCATGGGGTCAACCAAGATAACTTTGGGCGATTGACGTTAATGATATAACGCACATAACTTTACAGAACGTATTCTGTTTGTGTTTAATAATAATAAATATCAATGATACAGGGGTCGGAAACCGGTATATTTTTCGAAACGTTTTCATCTTAAATACCTAAAAAACACTTTGTTTCGGTTTCGTTCGAACAGAACGATATAAAAAAAGATTTTGGAAAAATACAGAATTATATTGTTTTCGGTTAATAAAACGTTTTTAACCATTTATTTTGCGTTTTTTTGCATCGCATACTGTAAATAACGTAATAAAATAAATGTACGCCGCCCTTACAGCCCGCGCGGCACCGTCTTGCGGATTAAACCGGTTTTTTAAAGCGTTCTCATTTCGTTTTCGTTTCGAACGCAATCATGCCCAAATAACCATAAGAAACGTTTTAAAAACGTTATTTTGAATAACGTTTCCGAGCCCTGCAATGATATTCGGCGAATACAAAATAATGTCCGTATCGATTCGTATTCGTTGCTTCCGATAATACAACAATATAATCAATAAATCATATAGAAGCTACATTACAACCGTCCCTTCCATAATGAAATTGTATATTTAATAAATTTCAAATTGATATACACGAATAAATCCTTGCATTACTATTACTTCAGCACCAATAATACCAATCACAATATTTTATTTATTGCTAAAATTAAGTGTATAAAATATGTAAAGCAATTTTTTTTAATTACCTATATCATTAAATTAATTCCTTTGTAGCATGAGAATATCTACGAAATATATATAATTTTGATTTTAGGCGAGTTATTAATGGCAGTGAATGGTGTGAAGTCTTTAAAAGGGACCTCACGAATTATATATAAATGATTGAATGTATCACCAAAATAACATTGGTAATATGTAGTTAAATTATCATTTTATAAAGGAATAGGTAAATTAATAAGTAAATTAATCATTAATCAAGTTTATAGTTCGCTTTACAGATGATATTGTGCTTGTGGTAATTTATTAATAGAAAATCGTAGAAATTCCTAAAAGGCGCTATAAGAGGTATTAGGTCCTAGCGCGGTCGTGAAAAACAATTGTCAGAGTTTCTTTGTTGTAATGAGAGTGTTCTTAATTCAAATAAGCTTATTGAAAGTATAGGAAAGTACTTTTAAATTGTATTTTTTTTCTAGCAATATTCTGAAATGGTGTTTTGTTTTTAAAGTATTTTTTAAGATAAATACGTACTTATATATATTATTGATTTGCTGACGTGAATCATAAAAATAGAAGTAGTACATATGTTCTATATATTTTCCATTTATAAAAGAAACTAATTGATTACTTTCATAGAAATAATTTGTGCTTTGATTATATAATTCTTTAAAGATTTTACCTATCTCGCAGGTTTCTATCGAGAAGGATTTTGATTGTTGTTAAATTGCGTGTTGAGATGATCAAGGGTATTTCTTTACTCTGTTTTTTTTTTAACTCTGGGTGCTAACGTAAAGATAGGTCGAATATTATTTGCATTTAATATTGAGTTTTTTTTTAATATCATTAAATTATAAAATGTAACCATATCGAAGCTAAAACTTAGGCAACAATATAAAATAGAAATATTAAGTATGTTCATTTAACCGTTAGGTATTCGTTATCAGTTAACAATGGTAACTGCTTTAGGTAGGTAGCTTTGTAAACATGTGATATTCATTATTAATTAATTATGAGGAAGTATTAAAAAAAAACATTAGTTCCCGAAATGAAACTAGATTTCCCTTCCGGTTTTTTTTCATGTATAAAAGTAAATTAGTTTTCAAAACTCAATAAACAACTCATCTTATATATGTACTTTTCGTATTTGTATTGATACCTAAGTTTCGGACTTTGCAAATTTCGGTTTTTTAATATGTTAGATAGATATAGATATACACTTTATTACTCGCACATAATTATTAATAATAGATTTACAATATAGGTACTAAAGCTAGGCTGGACAAAAGCGGTCTTATCGCTAAAAATCTCTTCCAAACAACCTTTGATTTGTGTAACATTTGGATGGGAAAACAGAAGGTAGTGTGCCAGTAGTACAAAAGAAAATTAAAAGGAACGGAAATGACTATCATTGGTCCATTCATTTCCTGCAAAAATCAACTTTTGCCAGAGTCGCCATCTAATGTAGGTGCTTTCTTTTTATTTTTAAATACTTCCTCATTATAAAGAATTCCAGTGTAGGTATTCAAATTTTAAAAATCAACATAGGCAGTCAACAAGTGTGTCGAGAGAGATATGTCTCGGGAAATGTACGTCATATTACATTTGAGTTCAATCGAATGTTCTCGATATATATAAAATGTCAAGATTATATGTAGTGTGAGCAAGATTGTTGCATTTTGTGTTTCTACTTCGGCGTAGAATATCTAGTCAGAAGGAGGTCGACGAGGCACGAGCCTAAAGAAAACGTTTACATCTTCAAGTGGATGAGTGTTCCTAAGACCGTCTTCATCGAAAGTCATCATTTAGATCCGAAATCAGAGTGGGTACGTTAAACACATCGTGCTTTTAAACGTACAGAAAAGCCTCAGGCTTAGCTTAATCATATTAGCGTTCCAAAAATCGGTGCGTGTGTCCATACAGTTGAATCTCGCTTGATTTTCAATCGAGGTCATCCAAGTTGAGTACGCGGAAGGTGTGCGCGCGCGCAGGGGGCGGGGGCGAAGGCGTCGGGGGCGCGAGCACGACGGCGGGGGGCGGCCGCGAGTAGCGCCCCCCACCGGCCCGCTAGTCCTCCACCAACTCCCACAGCATCAGCGCCGCCTCACCGCCACCGGTGCTCACCATGCAACGGTCGTTGAATAAGAAACGGGCGCAGTACACTGCCCCTGAGTACACTTTAGTCTCGTTGTACTCAGCTTTAGGACTGGCGCAAGGGTATCTAGAAAAATCGGGGTGCTATCATTACTGTCTGTTTAAAGTTATTCGTGGTATTATTAATTTGTTTGTTTTATTTTAAATAGTAAAGATAGCATGTGTGCTTATTAAGTAATCAAAATGAGTTAGTGATTATACAATTAAACTATATTAGCTCTTTTCTGACGTTCAGATATAAATAAAAAATGTTTACGCACAGGTAAATATTGATGTATACATAAAAATATATAATAAAATTAATATTAATCGCTAATATTCCCTTTAAATACACAATCTAACCGAATTTGGAACAATATTTACGAATAAATTAATATTATTATATTTATTATTATAAATGGTATAAATATAGCTAGGGGCCGTCCATTAATCACGTGATATGACCTTATAACAGAATTTTTAAGACTATCCCTCCCTCCACCCAAATCACGTGTACTTTTTAGTACCTACAAAATTTTTGCGTTTGAGGCAAAATAAATACACGTGATATATTACTACACCTCCCTCCCCTTCTCGTTGTGATATTTCGTAATTTTTCAGCTCACCCCTTTCGAGATTCACGTGATTAATGAACGGAAAAAAATATTCGATATTTGTATTGCCAATATCCTTCGCGTATAAATATTCTTCTCTTGCTACGGTTTTCTACGCTCGTAGTACATTAGGAGAAGACCTCTGAATTTACGTGCTACGGTTATGAATTTGAATGGTGCCCGCCCGTTAGTTAGCCCGATTACATAAATCTATTGAAATAACATATTCTTCTCGAACGCTTTATTTTATAATAAGTATTCTGTCTGTAACTTATTCATATTCACAATTATAAAAAAAACTCACCTGAATAAACGTAGATACCCATCTGTGTCTCCGCTGACCAACAAATCGTGAGCAGCCGATCGACTGGCAGTGGATATAAGTGACGTCATTGGGTAGAATCTATTATTCCACATCCCTAGAAGAAATAGTGACGTCAATAAGTGATTGCATTAAAAAGGTTTTCTATTTTACTTAACTGAATATTTAAACAGTTATCCTATTCCGATTAAGCTGAAGTTTGGCATAGAAGTGTCAGTACAAGGTTAATCAAGTTAAATAATTTTAAATCCAATATGGTGGACGGCCGGAAATGGCGGCCTAGTTATCTTGAAGCACTGTCCATATACGGATAACAAATGAAAGGATTTATGAAAAAAATTACTCATTCTAAATTCAATATGGCTGAGAACTCAAAATTAATGATTAGATCTTGTAGCTCTCTCTTAATATGTATATCATATAAAAATACTTATTATGATAAAATACCCAATAAAAAAATTATAACAACAAAATATTAAGTTTTGTGAACCGGACATTGTCCATTAAATTCAGGCGTAAAATAACGAGTGTGCATATTTAATACAAAACAACATTATCATATTAATTTACCTGACACAAGGAATCCTACAGTAGAATTAAACGTCGACCACTTGACGTCTTTCATAGCTATGGGGCTCTTTTCAGGTGACAGAGCTTTGATATCCCCTGAAATAATGTTAAAAACCGATAAGATGCCTGGCATTTAATAAAATAATATTTGTAAGGAGTTCTACTAACACTATCCCATGTTTATTATCGTTGTAACTCTGCAACTAATTTTTAATTGTGGAATATCTATATTTACTTAATAGGTATGTGGGAGTACTTTAAAACACACTACATTTTGTCACTTCTACGGTCGATTATAACAATATCTGTAAGATATGCAAATAATAATAAACGAGCACTTTGATATTAATACATTATTACACAAGTACGTGTATTACACTTCCAATGTTTCACCTTTCTATGAAACATCCTCAGGAGTTGTATATTATTTCAAGGACTAAATTTCGACCAATCAAAACGATTAAATTATCACGCTATCGGACGATCCACCAATATCCACGCGCTTGATCCTTGCTGAGTGTGAATTAGAACGGACATGCAATGCATTGAATTTTACATCTTATGATTATTTCAACTAGTTTTAACATAAATCTTAATAGACTTTCGGTTTTCGTTAGAATTGGTAGGTTGCTGCTCTTCGCAAACGAAGATTTACTATGTGATTTATTAGTTCTTTATTGTACCTTTACACTTATGGAACAATCTGCAAGAGCTATATACTTACAGAAAGCGAGGTCATAGTCAGCGGTGACAGTTTGCAGGTAGTTGCCGTCAAGACTCCAGTCGAGTTGCACGAGTGGTTGCGCCCCGCGGATTTTGTTGGACTTCTTGTAAGAGAACCCGTCGCGGGACACACGGAACAAATAAATGCTGCCGTTTTGAGAACCTATTGCTAGTACATCGCCAGCTGCAAAATAGTCATTAATTGATAGATTGATCATGGTTAAAATGGATCTGTTGAATGAAAAGACGGAAATATAAGGAGACAAAGACCGAATAAAAGATGGATAGACTGTATGAAAAATAATATGTTTAAGACGGGAGTGAATGATGAGATGGCGGCTGATCGAGAAGCATGCAAATAACTATGAAGAAATATCTTACCAGAGTTATACATGAGGCAATTGAGTGGGCTGCCGCATACTCGAAGGGTGGCGACGTGTGCACCAGCGTCTGCGTTCAGCACAACCAGGTGACCTTCCGTGCTGCCCGCCGCCAATGCACCTCCGCTTGGGTGCCACGCGAGTGAAACGCATTCGTAACCAACCTGACAATCAGCAAGTTATCTTGTGTATGCACATGGAGCGTTTTGAAGAACAATTGGGAAAAAGAAAAGAAGATAATAATAAATTCGTTTTCTTCCAAAAATATTTTAAACAATGTTGAACTATTTAAAAAAGTTGTTCCCGAAATCAAACTAGATGTCTAGATGGTACGGTACGTTCTCGATTTCTCCTAATAATCCTCCTTCAAAATTAATTTTCAAAACTCAATAAAAAACTCAACTCATTTCGTATTTGTTTTGATATTTAAGTTTCGAACTTTGCAAATTTCAGTTTTCTAATGTTAGTTAAAAGGTACGGAAACGACTATCTTTCCTGCAAAAATCATTTTTGCTAGAGTCGCCATCTATTAGAGGTGTTTTTTTGTGTTTTCTTTTTTTTAATTCCTCATTACATATTTTCATCGTATAAATTGTACAATTATTCTTGACATAAAAATATAATTTACCTGAGTGGCGAACACTAATTTATGGCCTTTCCACAAGGCTATATTTTTGTCATGTCCAGCTGTTGCAAACATTTCATCATCGGGATGGACAGCTAAGCCCATGAGTTGCTTATGATGCCCGAAAAGAACCTGTAAATTGTGCAGGTTTAAGAAAATCGGTAATTGAAATATTACCGGTTTGATTATTCGATTAAATAATCATTTTAATTTATGTGTAAAGTATTAATCGGTAAACCAAACCTGGTTAAATCGTCTCTGCAGAGATCCTTCCATAATGTTATTCCGTGTTGTACCGACGTATAGGTTGCCATCATTCCTACCTGGTCTTTGGGGGTAGATAGTTCTTACACCACCAGCAGATTCTGGTAGCTAAAAAAAACATACTTCAATGGGTACCTATTATTGATTGAACTTTATATTAAAATATGTAGTATTATTTAGAGTCTATCCTGAAATTTAACGTTACGTGAAATTACCTTAGTCTCAGTTATTCTTTTGTAGTTTTGTAGTGAATCCCACGCTGCAATTTTTCTATCTTTTTCCCCGCCAGATATCAAAGTGCCTTCTGAGAGCATCACCAGAGAACTGATTCCTTTTATGTGTGCCTAAAAAAATTAAATATAAATTTTAATGTGTACTAGTCGAAAATAAACCCAATATACATAGTCTGTGTGACTTTAGAGATATGACAAATTTTTGTTTGTTTTGACTTTCAGGTCCGTAAAGAATATTACACGTATATTTTTTTTTTGCGTAAACCATAAATTAGGGCAATATGTTGAGTTGAAATGTCATATGATGTTACACCGTACATCTTCGACATAGTTGTGACGTCACATGGCCCCAATCTTTAATGCCTAATATCTATTTCTTGTTAAATTGAAGCAAAAAAGTACGTATCTATTATTTTTCTATTATCTGACTGATGGACTAAATAGAATAATAGAATTTCTTTTAAAGAAGCAGTGCGCGAGAGGATTGATACAGCACAGAGTTGACACATCACATCACAAGCCTATTTATTAATGTCGCCATTGCTGGGACTCAGGCCTTCCGCTGTGAATGGAATCAAATCAAGTCGAAATAGGGATACAAATTTTAGAATTGCACAACTCTACTGCGTTCCGCTCTGCGCTGTCACTCGAAGCTATGCTAGCCATAAATGTTTTTATTTCCAAAGTAAAGACTTGATTCTGCTTAAACACTGTTTTCAGTGGACCGCAAGTAATAAATTCCTTTAGAAAACCGTATAATTTTTAAACTGCTAAACAATTAATCAGAAAAGAAATTAATGCAAATAGGACACAATTTTAATTAGTAGGCGATAGTTGAGTTCATGACCCCACTGTTGTAATTTATTGGATTCTTTACCCCTTTGCTTCAGTATTATTCACCCCTTTTTGCTTTAGTTAGTGATCTACTTCCCTGTCATTATTAACGGCGTGTCATACTTTCAGTTTTAAATACGTTACTCGAGTGGCAATCTTATTTATATATATGTGTGTCTTAGGTTATAGTATAATATCGTCTCTGTGTATAATTTTGTGTACATATTATTATGTATTGTAATTTGCTGTAGTCATAGTATTCTATATTACTTAGCTTTATTATTAGTATGAACTTATATTATTAATAACTAGCTTTCCGCTAGCGGCTTCGCCCGCGTCGTCTTATATTATACATAAAAACCTTCCTTTTGAATAACCCTATCTATGAAAAAAAAACATATCAAAATCCGTTGCGTAGTTTTAAATATTTAAGCATACATAGGCATATAAGGACAGAGAAAGCGACTTTATTTTATACTATGTAGTGATTATTGAAGCCTTTTGAATAAATACTCAAAACTCTTCAATAATTCTGTCTGTATAATCTCTTTGTTACTTCACCCTAAAATAAATAAGATCATGATATCCATTCTTCGGAGGACACGCCCATGATTTATTTGTGTTTATCTTCAAGGGGAATGTCTGTCAACAAATGCTTACCTCGAACTCCATCCGAACAAAATATGCACCATCACTGTCCACGCTGTAGATGGTGATGAAACCATCGCTATCAGCTGTCACTACATCACCGTCTTGTTCAAACTGTAGTGCCGTCACGTGTGTGCGAGACGGCTTTACATGTAAAACGTTTTAATATCACAGAACCAAGTATACTGATCAATCGTGTACGAAGAAGTTGTTAAAGGAAGATTATAAGATATATCGAATGGTATTTAGGTCAATGAAAGATACACTGAGCAACTCGTAATATAGGGACAGATGTGTATATTAATTCACATCGGCAGATGTGTTTAGAGATATAACGCTTGGTCTACTGAAATGAGGTTAGTGAAATCACAGTTCAGTAAGAACTCGGGTCATTTAATATAATGTAAATACTGTAGTTAAGGGCGTTTATTCGATCGGGGCTGTTAGAACCTCTTGTGAATGTCGAAATGCTATCTGTTAGCAAATCTACAGAAACCCCGTACTGAGAAGAAACGGCAAGAAACTCAGCAAGCGTTGTTTTTTCCAACAAGTCCAATTGAAAAATAAAGTTTAAATTAGAATATTATTTTATTTCTTAGCGCATACAAAGACCCCTGAATTATAAGGTTTTGAAGTCTAGTGATAGGCAACTTTAATTTATTCTTATTTATAGTAATACGATTGTGTTTTATTCTACATAGAAAAAAAAAATATATGAACGTACATTCATAATTTAACATTTACAAACGTATATTGGTCTCGGCATTTGGTCGGATAACGTCATTACTTTAACTGTAACTGTAACCTAACCTACTCAATGATGTATTAAAAAGTTTCGATACACAACATTGACAATAAGAAAGCAAGGCAGTTGCTGGAGTTTCACTGGAGCTCAGTGACGTTTCAGCAAGCGTTGTGACTAATATGATTTTCAGTCATAATTTACTATGAAAAGTTGTAGAAAAAATACCTTCCTGCATGTTTAAACAATGCACAAATTACACATTGACAATGAGAAATGCAAAAAAGATATCATTTTTATTTTAATAAAAATAATAAACGTTATTGAACGCGGCCATTTTTCTTGCATCGTGTTCTGTGAGGATGCCGCAGTTAACAGGTAGTTATGCAAGTATGCTTATATATAGTATGCAATAAAATTAATTTTATTGATAAACTTTACATACCTGTTTGATGATATCCGTACGTTCGAAGAATCCATCTTTTCTACGGTTCCAGAAAGCCAAGTGACCCTTACCATGGGTTATAAGAAGATTATCGTCTAAAGGATGGAAGGCAGCTCCAGTAAGTTCTTCTTGGAGAGTCTGGAAAAGATTTGGTGTTACTTTAACAGTATTTGAACGAAAATTAGTTCAAAAACTTTCTTATAGTGTTGATATACTTATGGTATAAGGAAGAAATATATTTTTTCCTGATTTCTATACCAATATGATAAAGTGGAAAGATTCGACTCCGAAGCTACTATAATTGTCTGAATTTAATATGTTTAACAATTCCTTTCATAGATATAGCGATTAATGGAAATATGTTACGTTTAAAGTTGCAATTGCTTTTAGAACGACTGATAATAATTTGAAAAATCAATAAAGATAATAAAAAGTTAGTAGTTTATAGCAATATTTGCTTCTAAGTGTTAGAACTTTAGACAATTCTAATTATTTCAAATTAAGGTTATCGTTCATCCAATATCTTTAGAAAAAACGTCGCGATCGTATTTACTATCACAATTCAAATAATTGTGGTCTGAAGTTCGTGAATCTCTTTCTAGTGTCATATTAAAAGGGATTGTTATACATTTTTAAATAAGAAAGTTAGTCGTTGGACTGATATTAGAACCCGCGGGAAGGTAATGCGGGCGACATAGATAGCTAAACTATAGTAATCTTCTGTTTGTTTGTTTGCATCGAATAAGTTCCTAAACTACTGGACCGATTTTAAAAATTCTTTCACCTACGGAAAGCTACATCATATGCGGTGAACATAGGCTATATTTTATCCCGAAAACATCAAATTAAGGGATGAAAATGGAAGTGGAAGATTGTATGGGAAATTAAATCGTTACCATAGTAACCATTGTTTACTATTCAATTTGTCATTGTAGTTATGTATATCTGTGTCATGATATGAATCGATATCCAAATGAACAGTTTCACGCGGGCGAAGCCGCTGGCGGAAAGCTAGTTATCTATAATGTATATTTTAATACTACCAGAATTTTTAAATACGAAGTTTTTTCATTTCACCTTTTCCAACAGAAATCCTTTATAAATTTTCAACTTCTTTTAACTTTTATTCAACACTAATTTTATCATTCAATCTTTAATACAATATTTGAAATAGAAACCACCATTCATATGCTAATGGTGTGGCGTATCACACTTTTATTATAAGTACAAACAAATCTACGTGACAGACTTGTAATAAATTATATGACGGTTGAGTGGGTACAGTCGCGGACAAAGGGCGTCACGTGACGCGGCCCCATCGCGTGACCGATAAGCTCGCACTTGACAAATATGAGACCTCAAGATTAATTTTGCGAAAGACAGCGGACATTGTTAGATTTCTTGTTTTATTTTTCTTTCTATAAAAAAATAATATGTTAGTCGCAATATCCAAAATCATTAGCTGAATTGATTTTTTGTTGTAAGTAATAAGTATAATTTAATACATTCTTTAAACATTTAATATATTTATATATGTTATTATATTTGATATATTTTGCATTTACAAACATTGTGAAATAATATTTTTCATACGGGAATCCCTTTATGAATATATGTAATATCATAGCTCTGAAATGGAATTCGAACCTCCCTTTCCGGGCACCTGAGACTTGTTGACTTCTGTTGGCTCATCCTATTGGTCAATAAAACCATTGAACGACCAATGAAAGCCATAAAAATGAAATATTATTATTATTACAAATATAAACTTTACATAAAGAATGAGTATTTACTACTACCTACTTTATTTATGAAATCTTTAGTTATTTTGCTATATGATAACAAAATAGTCGTAGTAATTCAATACGTAGCTCACTTATCTATCGTAGTCGTCGTAGCAAAAATCCGTAGTTCTGAGCTACAGACTTTTTGTTATTGCGAAGAATCCAGTATATATACTCAAATTCATTGTTATACATATTTAGCAACATATATTTTTGGTCATACAACGAAAAATCTATTAAAGATATACGACTTAATGTTCCTGCGTACGGAATAAGATCAGTGGGCGTGATGTAGAATAGGGTGATGTCAACAGAAATGTCGTCCATTCCTAACGTTAACGCCCACAATACAATTAAAAGGTACATATACACCAATACAATAACTATAAATTGGTGGGTGGAAAGTAAATTGCAATTTTATGTGGTAATGGTACCCACTGTGATTATCTGTAATTAAAATTCATGACCCAAAGCCATTTTTATAGTAAAACGTTGAGTGTATAAAAATCATAATCGTGAACTTATTGACGTAAATTATAGAGTATTCGCCGACACGTAATATCAATGGCGACAAAATATAGTCGTATTTCATTTAAATCGTTATTTTTGCCCCGACAAAATTTGCATGGTATGTTTTAGTAAAAAATTATAGAATTCATGGAAAATATGTGGATATAAAAGTATTGTTATTCGATCCAAGCGAACTGAAAAGATATTTCCCTACATATGCTCTAAACTTATAGAGATAATAAGCAGAATAATCGTTTTAATTTGTTGTTGCATGATTAAATCATCGAGCAATAAGTTTAAAGCTAAGCATAAAGACATAGAGAAAAGGGGATGAAATCACAAGCCTGCGTAACATGACGAACTCGGAAAACTCTAAAAACCTACGAGAAGTTAACTTTCAATGACACAGATACCTTCCTTCATATATATAAAAAAATATTTATTTGACATAGATAATTACACGACAATCAATACAATTATTATAAAATGTATTAATCTCAGCCTTTGGGTATGAAGTGGCTCATGTATTTAACAAAATAAAAGTGTTTTTTCCATTGTTATCTTAAGAGTGACTACCGTACACGAATAAATGACTGATAAATAATAACTAAGGCATGAAGCATTAAATAGATAAAATAATTGTTAATACCTATATACTACCTTCTTTCTTCATCAAAACATCATTAAAAGTTCATAACACAATAACTTTATATGACATGATGAATGTTCTCAAATGTAAGAATACATTACTGTAGATATATGTAAGTTATTAAAAGTAACCATATTTGTTATATTATAACAAACATTGCAATATAGAAAATTAGTTACAAAAGTTTGATATTACTATAATAAGAGATTGTTTTATACCAAAAGATTATTTTGTATCAATTTATTATAAGATATAATAAAAGTTAATTCTCAAGTAGTTCTGTTTCGCCAGATTATCTTGTTATTTACGATAATGTTAGCACGAGGGTGTCTGTACGCTTATCATATCATCTCAAACACAACACGTCAAGGTTTAATTGTATAAAGCATATATTGAGAAAGTTTTCTTTGGAGACAGTATTTTATTTTATAATAGCTTTCCGTCAGCGGCTTCGCTCGCTTTATCCCTAGGGAACTGTTTGGCGGGATAAATATTAGTAAGATCATTTATTATGATACAAACAAAGAATCTTATCTTTCCTCTTTTGAATATTAATATAGGCAAATGCTACACATCTCTACTGTTAAAATATTGTATAAAGATTATGAAGACAAGAATGAATTAATCAATAAATTCTTTATTGTACACCATAATTATAGATTATGACAATTGATACACAAGCGGCGGCCTTATCGCTATAAAGAAATTTCTTCCAGGCAACCGCAGGTTTCAGTCGGCCTCTAGCCTAGGTCGACGGCATGTTAAAGTCAGTTCCCTTCGGTATAAAAAAAGGCAACCGCAGGTTAGACTGGACTGTTACTTAAATACTGTTACTGTTACTTAAATAATGGGTAGTAGATGGTGTCTTACATGGGGAGAGAAACATTTTTACATGTATTCAAAACAGTACCAAAACAAATATAATGGGATGATACGATAGCATTTCTAATTTGTGATAAGTTGCGTTGTTTGAAACATAAATATTACAGAATTAGCATTGTTTACTGAAAATATATTTACTGATTATTCCTATATTTTATAAAATTTTATTTAATTACTGATTGATTTAAAGGTAATAATAATGAAAATTTATACTTACAGCTACTTTTCCTAATAAGTGTCCCCATTGCCATTGCCACACTGAAAGAATGCTCTCTCTGCCTGCGTCTACTGCTAGTACATAACTTCCACCATTCTGCCATAAAAATTAACTTAGTTAAAATATAAGTAAGCAAATAAAACATAATATCGACAAACATTATATCTAAATAAATTTATTTGTATATGTTGATACACTTTAATATTGTCTATCTTTTACTTCCCATTAATGAATGCAATATACAAAATGCCTAAGCTCGTTTTTACCTCAAAATACACTCTGTTCTTATTTGAAGATCCTTTATTTTATTTCGCTTTACAAAAGATGTTGGCCATCTTTTGTTAAAGAAAAAAGAATGTTGTGTAAAGAAAAAAGAAAGTTAACACAATGAGTTTAAAAATAGAATAGTTTCACGAATTAACCATTCAATCGATATCGATCATTTATTTTTCGCATTTCGATGAGCACTCAAAGAAGTACATAATACTTAGGTGCATACAATATTTATTTTATGTGTTCTATTATTGAAATCAGAAATATATTCAATAGCAAAAGAGGTTTATACCAATTGTGAAAAAGCAACTGCTGAGACTCCAGCCTCGAACTCGGCCATGCCGAACACGTGTAGAGTCTGAAGCGTGTCCGTACTCCATATGCGGACATGCGCTTGCGCACGTCGCCCACGTCCTGCCTTCTGTCCGCTCGCTACCAGCTCCCGGGAAGGGTGCAGTTCCATACTAGACATAAAATGACTTTTTTAAGGGTGACCACATTTTTGAGGTGCATTACTTTTAGGAAGAGATAGAGACCGTCATATGCTGAGTTAGATACATTTTGGTGCAATTGGGAGATACGTAATTGTGGATCTCTGTATGTTTGTGTTATTGTTAATATTCCGAAGCGTTCTATGTATGTATACCAAATAATTACATTAAATTTGATTTGATAACATGATATTCGTACAGAACACAATGTTTCAGTGAGATTAACAATTAAATTTATATTAAATTTCAAATACAAAAGATACTGAATCCAAACAAAACAACACCAATTCCTTAATTGTTATTAAAAGTAACATTGTTTGGTTAACTCCGATATAATTTATAAGGTTTACAATAATACGTAATAACATTTGGTAGATTTCTTCGATTCTTATTTATTTGAAGTATGATAGCGATATGATTCCCTCAGGGAATAATCCCAATTGAAATTGTAAACCTACCATTGTATGTCTTCGGTGTGTCCAATATAATGTCGTTGTGAATCCTCGTCGCGATCGTACATGATGGCTACCGCAGCCACATAGTAGAGCAGCTCCCCGGTAGGCAGTACCCACAGATTCTTACGTGTGTCGGAGCCGCGATAACCGTACCTGGTTTCATAGATATGTTGAAAGATAATTTTAAAGAATTCAAGTTTCGAACAAATTTTTATTAAAAGAAAAAACAGAAAAGTATTGGGTTCCAGGTATTTACGAAGACAATGAAGATAATTATATCATCTGTATTGTAAATGTTTAGTTTGGGTCACAGTCCGTGTTTTCGCCTGTCATAGGACTAATATATTATATAAGGCGGATAATAAATATTTTATTTTCAATTATAATTCATTTAATTACTGAGATTATTACACACGTGTAATACAATAGGCAAATTTATCGATTGATTCTGTTACCTCTCCATAGTAATATAATGCAAAGATATCTCGAAAGTAATTATATAAAAAAATAACGACAATAGTGATAATAATCAGAAAATAAATTTATGTACTTAGTAGAGATACAACCATAAAATCGAGAACATGAAGAAAGATAAAAAGAACTTCTAGAGAACGCATCTTTACTTTAGTGTTGACTTGGTCCCGTTAAATAAAACAAGTCTTTAAATGAATCAATGAAACGAACGGAAGAACAGTATTATAGTTTTCTTAGTTTTTAGTAACATAAAAGCCAGCCTTGAGTTCTCCAGTAACATTATCACAATTTACTAGCCTAGCATAAGTTTCTAACACATGTCTGAATTAATTCAACTTTCCACCCCACATAATCACTATTGCCATTTATTTTACGTAATGATAGAGCACTCGTTAGTCACTTTAAAGGTTTTAGGAACGCGAGGCACACTTCAGAGTTCTAGGTAAAATATTATTTTATATTGGTCTACCTTCCTTTGTTGGTCTATCTTGGTATAAACCATTTTTATAATACTTAGTATTGCAGTGATGTTATATCTTGTACTCTAACACATAGAGCACAGGCACAGGCCCTCCAGATAATAAGTATTGAAAGTTGCTTAACAACCGTATATCAGACCGAGCGTGCTAACCAGTTGCGCTATCGAGCTAAACTATTATCTGCCATAACAAAATTTATAGTGTTACAGTACATTTTTTGTGAGGTCCACACAAAATATCTAAAGTATGAGAGTGGAGATTATCACTGTTACTGCGACTTACTTTTAGTTATTCCCCTTTCATCAGGCGATATTATTTACCCCTAAATCGGTCTATCGAGTATTATTGATAATTATAATAACACTAAAACTGCTACCCTACACACTTAGCTGCGGTGTTAGTTAATATTGCTCTTACACCCAATCTAGCTGCATTTTCTTGTCAGGAGGTGAATTATCGATTGGTGCGTGGTGTATGGGTGGGTAGAACGTACGTCTTAAACCTCTTATAGTCACTCTTATAGGTTCTTCTTTTAATACTTCTAGAAGCGTATAATCTGTAACAATTAATAAAAATATTGCCGATTATAAACGTAAGCCATAAACAAAACGGTGCTAGTTAAAAATCTAGTTTTATCATTCGCTTGCCTGAGTTGCGCACGATTTCGCCTTCGGGTGCATATAATACTCTTGGTCTACTTTTGCTGCGTGCTCGTCTTCCGCGTAAATCTTCTGTAGCGGCAACAGCGGCTACGTTGCCTCTCGATCTTGATCTGCAAAATAAATTACATAAAGGCGATTTCCTATTTTACTATTTCATTATTCTCGTTTTAGTCGCAAATACCTTCTGATAGGCGATTCAACTGGCAGCGGAGCGCTTATACCAGGATTTAGAGCGGGTGCGACAATAACAGAGCCTAGATAAAATGTTTCAACGTCTGCGAATTCATTTCTTAGTTGTGAAAAACTTCTAACCTGTTGACAAAATAATATGTTTTATTACAAAGTTAAAATGCACTTACAAAGCTTCTTAATGAAAACGTATAAGGTATGAAGTCAAATGTAATATACGTATTATATAGATCTGAAATAAATAGAAAACAATTTAGGGTAAAAGGAAACGACAAAGTAAGAAAGAAAAATAAATCAAAGACGATAACGGAAACGGAAAGTTTTTTTTACAAAACAAAATATTTCATATAAATTCTAGAAGTATTTTCTTCGTTTTTTCTCATTTAAGGGTTTCTACATTACCTCTTGACCCGTAATTGTGTACATTCTTTTAGCTCCACTCATTTTTAAAACTTGCCCTAAGTCTTCCAATACTTCTTCAAATGGTTGTGTAGTCCGCAGGTTTAATAAAACGCGACACTGTAAAACAAAAAACAGAATGTAATATTAAGCTGCCAAATAGGAACAGTTCTTCAACCAAACTCTACCAAGCTTAATAAAAATTTTGGTTGTGAAAATCATTCATAACATTTCGTTAGTTTGCCTACAATTAACAGATAATCTTCGCTAATATTTGCACGGCCTCAAACAATTTGCACAACTCTGGCAATCAAAATCACCGCCCTTAGTGCTTATTTCTCAAGGCCATTGCATTGAAAGAGTTTTATTACACAAAATAGATTCGTATTACGTGAGTACACCCTACCTAAGGCTTATGATAGAAAATTGGCAGTGAAACATTGTGAAACATTCTTTCTCAAATTTTAATTGCATAGCTCAACCGTAACTAGCGTTTAATAACCTACTACATTACTTTATTGAGGATTATTATTTTGAGATTACCTTCTGTAATTAGAATAATGCAGCTATCAAACAATTCAAAGCAGTAACATTGTTCGTTGGGTAAAGTGTATCGTTATTAAGTATCGGCTTTCACCTAACGTATTTTAAAATATTCTAATTGAAAGTAGAACTACTTATAAATTAGATTGAAACCAGAATGGAGATATGAGTACCATGTTTTGAAATAAGCAGGGCACTTTACATATAGCTGCTACATTTTGATAAGAAACAATAACACAGTCGCTTTTTGCACATACAAGTTAAATATTAAATCTCTATTAATGTTAAACATCTCTAATTATCAAATTGGTGGACTTCAGGATAATAATGGGCAACTAGAAAGTTCATGCGCCATGCGCTTACGGAGAACCGATACCGAGAAAAAGTATCGATGCCTTGGTGGTATCGTTACATCCCTAAGGACAACCATATGACAAAGAGAGTGAAGGATTGTGTCTTACAAGTGAAAATGCAGGTTTCTGTTTTATGTTCGAAATATATGAACAATTTAACTTATAAATATTCATCAAAAAAAATTACACTATTTACAAAATATTACGCTTCGAAAAGTTGAAAAAAGTAGGAAATATATGCTACAAAAATTTACTTAAAACATATGGCATTAAATTAGTTACATGAAATATTATAATTTTTATTATAACAGCTACAAATATAAACGCACAAATAACAAAGAGTATATATATAGGTTTTTCGCTACAGTAGCACCGTGTGACGTCACTTAGTGGCTTGAATTTGTATGGAGCGTTTTCGGCCGACTAGCAGCAGTTCCACAAACATATAACCATAACTCCGAATCTATTAATCGCAGACATGCTGTTACTTTCACATTATTTCTCAGATATAAATGGACTTATTATTTTTAAAATAAAAAAGTTGTAACTAAGAAAGCGTGGACGATCGTCAATGACCTGGATCTATAAAGATGACATGATGTATACCGACACAACCGAAGACACAAGGGATGACACAACAGTGCGGAGTGGCGCAAAAATACTAGAAGATCAGACCCCAAATAAAATTGGATAAAATCCCGGAGAAAAAAAGAAGAAGATGGCCAGTGGCATTAGAATGATTGTTAGGAAATGTTGCGGTTGCTTAATTAATATAAGGTACATGGTAGCAATTCAGATATTAACAATCATTCTGATGTGATTTAAGTCACCTGAATAGAATGGTCCATATTGTTGATGATTCTGATGACGCGTCCGCTGGCTGGCTTGCCACCCCCCGGTGGTGGGGCATCGGACTCCGCGACAGATTGCTTGCGTGTGCCAGCGCGGGACCAGCCGCCTGCACCGCTGACGGCGGGTGCACCCCCACCGTACCACATACCGTTCTTTTTACCGTAACTTGCTGCCTGTTTTATAAAAATGTTGAATACACTTTTTTGGAAATTAATAACATATTATCATCTATAATAAAATTAAAAGGAAAGAAAATCTTTCAACGGCACTTTCGTTTTAGTTGCGGATACACGATCAATCAATTGAGCTAATAATTTTTTTGTTAATCTAATATAGTCGTATTTGAAAATGTTTGAGTATGTTTTTGCTTGTCTTTAGAATGGAATATTTACAACATTTTGAAGTATATTTGGTATCAGTCCAAGAATAGGAGTGATTACTAGTTTTTGTTTGTTTGTCTGTCAGGTAGATTATTGAAGAGCATTAAATCGTATTTTTTATTATATGAATAATATATAAATTACAGTTATACATTGAGTTGAAATAGGGATGATGACTGGCTAAAAATATCTATTTAGTCCGTCGAAAAATATTAGATAAGTATTTTTTTTTGCTTCAATTTAAACAAGAAATGACTTAGATAATAGGCATTAAAGTTTTGGGGTGGGGACTCGCTACGTCACAGTTACGTCATCCAAAGGTAAGACTAAAAAACAGAGTGTTTATCTAAAAATAATAATGTTTAACACATTATCTTTAAGTATAATATACAAACAGAAACTACAGTAGTTCTCTGAAATACTTATAAAAGATTTCAGAATACTTCTGAATCCTTTCTATTCCTTAAATGGATTTTTGACAATTCGTATAAGCGAATCTATTTTTATGACATGATGAAATAAAATCCTGTAAGATTTTTTTAGACATTTATATTTAAGTGAGGATATGTATAAATAAATAAATACTATGAATTGTGAGCTGACATACATTTTATAACAATATTCTTATAAATGGCTAATAAATAAATTTAAATTGAAATGTGTAGAAATTGTAGAAAATGATTTATCGATTACGCATAAAATAAAAAAAAAATCGTGTTTAATATTCCGTAATATCTCTGCCTGACCATCGAGCATACAAAAATTAGTCGTCATCGGTATTGTACATTTTCTACCTAGCCGTTGTTGAAAAAAAAATACGTATCTATAATCTGACTGAGGGACTAAATAGAACATCTTTTTTCACCCTGTCATCGTCCCTATTGTATCGAAAATGTGTTTACTGATTAATAAAAAAAGAACCAGAGAATTGAATTGTCAGTCAATTTTCTGGCTCATGTCTTCCTTATGGATGGTTAACGTGGATGGGCCTCCTAATACTATTTCATTGCGAACAAAACCTAAGAACGTAAGATTGAATATGATTGTGAACACTATCAAGAAATATCTAATAAGAGAATTGAAAGTTATTTAATAGAGACTCCAAAATAAAATATTTGTTTCGAAGAGTGGTTAGCGAGTGTTAAAGCAATAGCAAAGATGTAGAAAGTGGTTTTCAAAGCAGTAATTTACAATATACGAGTAGAAAAGCTCGGTGGCGTAGTGGATTAGCGCCGCGGCCCGTGATCGTAGTCGTTAAGCAACTTTCGCAAGGGTCGGTCACGGGATGGGTGACCAAAAAAATTATTATCTCGAGCTACTCCGTGCTTCGGAAGGCACGTTAAGCCGTTGGTCCCGGCTGCATTTGCAGTCGTTAATACCCTCCAATCCGCATTGGGCCAGCGTGGAGGGTCATGGCCCATCCTCCTTAACCATCCATAAGGAAGGTCTGAGCCCCTGCAGTGGGGACGTAAAAGGGCTGATGATGATGATGATGAGTAGAAAAGCTGTATTGTAAGAATGGGAATTAAATTGGGAGTGTTCATGGCAATTATTTCGAAGTGTGGGTGTGGTATTTGGTGGTGGTGAAGCAGATAATGTAAGGTCGTATGAGTACTGACTAGGCCAATAAATTGCAAGTAAATGTTCATAAATGTTTTATAGTTCTTATATTTTGCGCCCTTGACACCATTTCTGATGTTAGTATTATACATGAAAGTACTAATATGTTCTTAAATTTTAACTGAAGATGTATGTATAATAATATAGTTGCTTTCACTTTTTAAAGATTTTTTTACTGTTGACCTATATACACTTTTTATGTAGTATGCAAATGTTCTGCAGTACTTGTATGCCAATTGGAATGCAAACCGCGTTAAGTAGAGTACTTTCAATGGTGGTATTTAAGATTTTTATGGGTTTACGACTGACGAATGCTATTCGCCCGTCGCTCCATCGGTCGTTTAGCATTTTAACTGGTTTTAACCTACTTCACTAAATTTAGACTAAGCATTGAAGTCTGCAACTTTTATTGACTGTAGAAGTTTATTTCTAGGTCTTTGCCGATTTATCTTTTCATGTAAGTTGAGTGTGATAAGATTCTTTTTAATATATATTGTTGTTATTTAGTTAATCATAGAGAACTGATGTACCGATGTGTTGATGTATGTATTTACATTGTATTATCATATTTGTAATGATTATATACAATTTTAAATCAACTGCTTTCTCTACATTACAACACCTAAAACTCACCATTATGTTTACCCTCAAATCTTCGGCACTTTTCGACTCGTAGCGAATTCTGATTCGCGGTATTTTGTTGTTCGTTATAATATCAATGACAGGCGCCACGTTCGGCGACCGACCGACCACTGTTCAAGTAAACAAAGCTCCTCCCACACTCAAATTATGCCAAAGTCCTTGGCCGATGGTACTGACCGCTTGTCAAGGACGCCTTATCGTCAAGTCTATGCGTGCAATTAGTATACTTCGGCCAATTCGATTGACCTCCGAAGCGCTAACCGAGCGGGCAGCTACCAAGAGATTCGTTTCACACTGCCAATTCTTCGAGGGTCTACCTTGAGTGGTCGAACATACATTCGTAGATCGCACGTATGGGCCGGCGAATATACGTCGCAAGCGAGGTCACGTATCAAATTGCTGCATAACAAGTGGACTGCGGTGTTTGTGAAATTAATATGTCTGAAAATGTTGGTCATTTTGTCGTTTATATGATTGTTGGTCACTACGGGGAAGTTGTACGAAAATATTAAAGAATCTGATATTTTTTTTTGTTTTATTTCAGTCAACATTTAGCGTTGGCAACTGTAAAATTCTGCCTATTGTGGTATAGGTAATATATGACGTCATAGGCAATTAATTCTCGGAACCAAAAGTAACTTGGCAGTTTTTACGTAATTATTAACAAACACGGAGTCGTTCTTATTACGAATCGGGCTATTACTCAGATAGATTGTTTGCGATTTGGTAAAAAAAATTGTGCCACTGCTAATGACTTGGTTGAAACATACCTATTAAATAATTATTCTATACATTGTTACAATAATATTTATTGGACTCGGATGTAATACTGCTATGATTAATTGAGAAAAGTTTTTTCAGGTACGCTTACTGGATGTGTTTACAGGACTTCAATCGGCCACGACGCGACACATTTGCATATACATTACTTCATTTTTGTCATTAGCATATGTTTAGAATTTATGATGGTAAAATGAATGAATTACTAGATGCAAATAAGTCACAAAAGTGCGTTGAGAGAAAAAATGTATAACGTGTTTTTGTATCAAGTGAAAAATGAAATCCTCATTGATTTTCTTAACGCACTGAAGAATAATATCAATAGTAATATAAATTAAAAGCTTTCCGAAAAGACAGCCTTAAAAGAGGCTGGTGGGGCCCGCTAGAAGCTGGGAAAAGACCAAGCTACCTAATCACCTTTTCCCTAGACAGTGGACCGTCCCCGTGGCTAGTCCCACAGGGGGCGGGTGGGGTGTTAGCTCTCTCCGTCGGTCCACAGAAGGAGGGAATGAGCAATTAGCAATCCTCTCCCGCTTGCTATCCTCGTTTATGGAGAACACTGACCTGGCCTCCCACCTGGGCCTCCTAGGGCTAGCCCCATAGATATCCCCTCGGGTCACTCTCACAGTGCTCTCCTGCTAAAGGACCTGTAGCCCTCCGGTGCCGCCAAGGTAGTTCCACGCGAAAGCATAGCTCCACCGGCAGCGTCGGGCGGAGAGGGGCCTCATTCTCCCGTGCCACATGAGCAGCCCACTTCATCAACGGTAACACGGAATACCCATTCCAGGATGAGTGGAACCGCGCCGCCACCGACATTGCGGGCCGTTAACTTATCCGCGCACCGGTGGTCAGCACGTACTTTCGGATACACATTTCCATGTGCGCACCGATGCCATAACCGCAATACAGTTGTGGCACATAAGTCCTTGCTCAACGGCCATTCCTCCTAGGAGAGGAGAAGAGGAGAGGTCATCGCGCGTTGCAAGCAAAGCCAATTCAGTCCTGCGCTGGGTCTGCCAGCAGTCACCGTCAATGATGAACCCACTAAGCATGGTCGGCCAATTAGGGGAGGGAGGAGCGTTGCGCTGCGTAGCATGAACGCCTTCTCTCTCTCCTTCTACAAATGAAATGAGCGGGGCCTTCGCCTTCCGTTCTCTCTTCGCAGCCTCCTTTTGCGAGATTACATCTTTAGAAAAAGAGGCGACCATTTGCCTGGATCTGTCGCTATCCAGTATGGCTTTGACCACGTTGGGCAGGGAGAGATCCTATCATTTCTGCCAACACTAGGCACAGACCAGGCACTACACTCTTCGAGCGTGTGTTGCGCTGCGCCACGTGGTGGTAAAACGGAGTCTCTTCTTTACATATCCATTGTAAGTACTGTCCAAAACACTGGTCTCTGAACAGAATTTGCACCAGTCTGTAAGTCTGTGATCCATACCCTCTCCCGAGTATATACTTAGTACCTAGTCTGGAGGTGAAGTGCTGGAACACCTGGTGGCGATAGTAGTCATAGTAACCCATATTAAAGGTGTTTTTAATAGTTAAAATTAGCAAAAAAAAAACTTAATGTTGATTTAAAAAGTAGACATAACTACTCAGATTGTTCAAAAGTGAGAAGGGCGTTTCAGCAGATCTCCGAAATTGGCGTGAAAGTAAGCTCCAAAAAAGCTCCAAAAATGGTAAAAAAATAATTTATTACTAAATTAATAGTAGTAGTAGTTAAAGAAATGTTCAGACTTTAATGTAACAAACTTATTCAGTAATTGCTAAAAGTTTCTTGCATACCAGCGCCACTGGGTGTTTCAAAGCTCGTCTTCGTGTAACCTACTGTGAGAATCCTGTGTACCCTGAATACTAGTACATACTGAAGTATCAACCTCTATAAAACTCTTACACAATTTTATCACGAGCCCTCGGTCTATTAGAGTCCTTGTATCCGTGCGTGGGGATACAAAGGCTCATAATTGAACCAAACCTGGCAGTGAGGATATACCTAGTAGTCGTAGATAGTCGAGATTAGGTTTGCAAATTAAAAATAATTCAGTAATATAGAAAAAAAAATTGCGATTTTTTTATATTGAATATCTGGATGTTGTTTGTTACACTGACTATGTGAATTGAGAATTAAATGATTAATAACACTGGTCAACATGACTTTTTGCCGTTAATTAATTTATGTATTTTCGGTATCTCTCATATATAAGTATTTAAAAAAAAATAATAAAAACAATCTATTACATCGAAATATCTAAATAAACGATTTACTTTGAATTCGAAAAATTTTTACGGTCTATTGAAAATAAGTATTGTGGTTGGCCATTCTAACAAAAACAAAACTGATATTTGTAAGAACACGATATACCCTCACATTTGTGCACATTTAGTGTATGTTATTCTTAATTTGTTATCGCGTTATATCACTATTCAACACTAGACGAAGTTCGATTTCCAGTGTTTTTTCAACTGTTTATTGAAATTGTGACTAGTTTTTTTCTCTTTTTTTTTTTTTGATAAGTTTCAGTTTAAAAGGAAAAGTATAAGTACAATATGAATCGAAAGTGCTTAAATTCACCGGACCTCTTTTGTTTTATTTGTGGAGAGTTTACTTCAAGTTCTAATCGAGAACGACCTACACCGTTAATTAATAACATTTACAATTTGTATTTTGGTTTCAACATTCCTGAAACTATTAAAAAAAGGTGGGCTCCGAGTTATTTTTGTTTAAGATGTGTTCGTTATTTAAGAGGATGGTTTAAAGGTACCCACCTAACAATGCCTTTTTCTAAACCTACACTTTGGTGAGAACAAAAAGATCATATTACTGATTGTTATTTCTGTTTAACGAAACTTAAAGGTTATTCCTATAAAACGAGAGATAAAATTGTATACCCTGATGTGGAATCAGTAACTAAACCGCTTCCTCATACCGAAAATTAAACAAAAAGGAAAAAAATGCGTGGCTTTCTTTTGTTGAAGTGACAAAGAATTTTTTGGGAAACACAAAGTCTGCGAACTATAAGGAGATAGTTTCTAAGCTTCTACAAGACTATAAAGATTTAGGATGTAATATGTCTTTGAAGATACATTTCCTTCATTCCCATCTAGATTTTTTCCCCGAAAACTTGGGTGCAGTAAGCGATGAGCACGGGGAAAGATTCCATCAAGATATCATGGCGATGGAAAGAAGATACCAAGGAAAGTGGTCGCCGAGAATGCTTGCAGATTTTTGTTGGACACTAAAACGAGATCATCCGTCTTATAGTTACAAGAGGCAAGCTAAAAGAACAAAAACATCCTCAGAATAAATTCTTTTGAAACAATATTTACGAACGTCAGTAATTTTTGGTTACTTTTTAATAAATGTATTTTATGAAAAAAATGGGTGTTTAAATTTTTTTTTACGAACATATTTATAGTAGTTGCGTGCCAAGGTATGAAAAAAAACCACTTCTGAGCAACGGCAAAAAAAAAAAAATCATTTTGTTGACCAGTGTAATCTTCAATTAAACTTTTTGACAAGGTCAAAGAAATATGTATTACACCTCAATGAGGACGAATGACGAATATGAAATGCAATATGGACATGCATTTGAAATTTTCTTTAATTTATATCCACTACAAAAAGTCTTCATTTTGGAATCAGAAATAATTAGTAATTTTGATAAATATTATATGATTCTCGTGGCAATTTTTAGCATAAGCTTGCAATTTTTCTGTTGCTCGATTTAAATAGAAATGGATGCTTTTAAAGGTGTTTTTATAACTTAACTCGATAATATCGATATTTTATAATATGAAATAAATATCATTATGATTTTATAGCTTGAACAAAACTCACGACTAGTTCTGGCGCGTACACCGGCAGTGAGATGACAATGAAAGGCTCCTCGTCAGTGTCCAGCATGAAGTCCTCAGCTGCCTGGAGCCAGCGGTCGCGGCTTGGACGCCACAGTTTGGCTACTTCTTACTACTAATTATTGGGAAACTCGAACGACAACTAATTGATTTTTAGCACTTTTGAAGGCTAAAATGCCTCTGAACCGTTTCAGCTAGAGAAATTAAAATTCTATAATACCTCTGAATGAATTAAGCTATTGAAATTGGAAGCATCGGTATATTTAATTTATAATTGGCAAAATAAAAAAGTATAAGTTTGTTAAATTTACGAATGTCAAAAAAATAAATAGTTTAAATAGCCTATGTTTTTGTTATGAAAAGGATTAGATGGAATAATAGTAGATACTTGAGTGAACTCCTTAACAGATTCATGAGACAGTGATTTCAAATGTCACTCGCGTTCACCAGCTCGTGTCAAGTTCAAGTACCTACTAAGGCGAAGACGCACTCACGTGGTGTGTTCGTGACTTGTGGCTGGCATGCAGTTAGCTTTGCATAAACCTTTGTCTACTTAACATACTGTCCGGGGTGACGTCTGTCCGGCCCCTGCGCCCCAATCAGATAGTATTAGCATAAAGTAACAGTAAACGTAAGAGATAAACGATTTGTAACGAAAATTATGGAATTTCAGTAGTTCATTCGAATGAGACTTAACTCGAAAATATTTGGAAAATTTAACATTCTATACAGACGGCTACTTAAACTTAAATGTGATTATTTATGAAATCTGATCTGATTTTAGTGAAATCATGAACTAATGGTATTTGTCGTAGCGGCAGAGAGTTAATTATACAGTTTAATAACGTCTTAATAGTGGTATTATGTGATATAAATGCCTATATAAATAAATACGTAAGTATAATTATTAAGAAGAGGCTTTATTTTTACATATGTAAAATTTCGCTTAAACACGTAGTATTATTATTGTCATTTATAGTTTTAATGTGTGTAGAATAAATGTGTAATGCTGATGAATGAAAAAAATAGAAAAAGTGCATTTGAAAATTTTAAAACAGACTCAAGATTAAAAGTATTAAATTTCAAAATCACTTTTTAATATGTTACGAATAATAAAGCACTGTCACGCTTATGAACGAAACGTTATATTTGTAAAGCTTCACATAAGGTACTAGGCTTTGCTGCAACAGCTGGCGTATTTGCAGCACCGAAAAAACAAAATCCGAAATCGAATCGCTAGTCACCACTGAACCACTCACTCACGAGTTGGAGCCATAAGGCTTTGTATTAAGGTGTTAAGTCGAAATACCAGAGGTATCCGTATAGCACGGTTGGATGTAGCAGACTATTTGGTTTTAGCTGAGTGGTGAAATAATGCCGGCGTGGAGGTGGGGGTGCCAAGGTCGCTCTCAGTTAGATGCCACGCAACCACATTACCGAACGTTCACAACTGAGTACGTTGATATACATCGGTCAGACGTCGTTGTAAGACCCTTTACAGGTTCTCACGTGAAACAATTATTAGAGCTCATGCCCAATTCTGTGGTCACGATCGGACGACCGCCGCACGCGAACTGATAAGCTCTAATTTGGGACCACGCATTAACGTTAAATGTTTACAAAAATATGAACGCCCGAGGATTTCCTGGACCTTGATCCAGTTACCTTTATTATTTTGGTTATGTAACTATTAATGAGAATTATTACGAACATAACGAGAACATTTGGTATAAAGCGTAAAGAAATTGGAACAGGGTAAGTGTGTCAAAGTCATATTATTTCAATTAATGCTTTTTATGATACGACCTAATGTAAGCCTTAAAGAGTTAGAATATTTGGATAAAAGAACACCCAAATCATTTTCCTATACGATTTTAAAAATGAAATCACCACTATGAACTGCGGTATATAGTCATAACTCTGAATGGCAGTTCTTCAATATGACTTCACGTTAAAGACGCACAATGACACAGTTACATTATGCTTGTGATTTTTTTTAACAGACACTGCGCCTCTGAAGCTTAAACAAAAATTCGATCAACATACGAGTATATTAGATTACGCCTATAGAGTTAGTAACACCCTAGCCCTTATGGGTTCACACGAAACTTTAAGCCAAGAAAATTACACATTTAAAAGTCTGTAACTGGATGTAGTACAAGTATTATACATTCTATATTGCATTAACAAACATAATTCGGTAAATCTCGTATTAAAAACTGACTGACTTAAATATTCTGCCTTAAAACTGAGTAACAAGTCTACTATTACACATTTACCACCTCAGCGTAATCCGTGCATAATTTTTTCTTGTTTTCACATAACGCAGGACTTATAAAATGCGAAGTGATAAAGCAATAAAATGTTTGCCAACTAAATAATGTATTTATGAAGTTTTTGTTTATTCATTTATATAAATTAGAACTATACCTACAGTAAAAGCTGCCTAAAAATGTGCAAATATTTATTAAAAAGAAAACACCCGTGTAAAAGTGAGGAATATTCGTTTCATTGGGCAGTTTGTCGATGCAAGTTGACCCATATACCCATTTTCGACAGTCCGCCGTTGCTGGCATAATAAAACCTTCGATAGATTTAATTTGCAGCATGTAATATATTTGAGGCCGATTCAGCGACAAAATTATATAATTTATACTATTAGTAATAACCATTAGATCCTTTTTGAATATTACAAGTCGTTAAAAATTAAAAAAGTAAGTAAAATTTAAAGTTTTAAGTTTTGTACAATAAAAAACGATATCACGATAAGTAAGCACTTACTTAATGAGATTATACTGTAATATTTGTCGTTTCTCATTGGCAGGCTGTCTACATAATAATAAAATATCATAAAAATCGTTATGATTCATGTTTCACATTCATATAAAATACACAATATTTCACTATTTTGTGACACGTAATTTTTGATAATTTATAACGTAACTGATATTACATACTATTATATTTTTAAGTAAATTTCGCGACGATTTTGTGGGTTACCACACTAAACACAGGAAGGATCGATTTGCATACACGTGATTTTTGCGGAAAACATTAGACATAGTGAGGCAGAGTATTTCGGCACGCGATCATTGTTCTTAAGCAATTTTCGCAAAGGTTGGTGACGGGATAGATGACAAAAAATATTATTTGTATTTACTCCGTGCTTCGGAAGGCACGATGGTCCCGGCTGCATTTGCAGTCGTTTATTCCCTCCAGTTTGCAATAGACCAGCGAGGAGGGTCATAGCTTATCCTCCTTAACTATCCATAAGGATGGCCTGAACCCTTACCGTGGGGACGTAAAAAGGCTGATGGTGATGACAGAGGCATTTGTTATGTAACGGTACGTCGTACCACCGGCACCGCTTACTTCGTCCTAGGTTTCCGCATGCAAACTTTTTGTCTTTGATCTTCAACATCATATATTTTTACTATTCTCTTTTCGTAATTTGAAATTTTGAATAATCCAATATGCTCTTTATGAATGTCGGTTCTTGAAAATTCGTCGAATTAGAAACATTACACATACTTAATTTGAATCAATAGAAATCTGTTGTAAAAAGTGTTTAAATTTACTTATTAATACTTGTTTTCATTATGCTCATGAGTTTGAACTCAAATCAAATACAATAAAGTTAAATTATTCACCAAATACGAAGAAAAGGGTTTTTTTTGTTACCTTTAATTAAATCAAGTTCTCAAGCTTAGTCAGCCTTTTATTCATTCGCCTAAGTATCGAACACGTCACAGCGAATCCGTTATTTTAGTGTAAAATCACTTTATAAACGCACAGTAATCTTCAAATAAATTTGTGTATACACATACCAACGTTAAATTTTAAATACAGAAAGTAAATTGTGACCACACCCACATCGTTAAGATCATTTTCGTGTTAAAGCACTCCCTATGATGAATTCCGAGGAAGTCTTTAGCATCATATTCGGCTTTTAATTTAGATAGATGCATAGAGCTTGATTTTATACTTTAGTATGTACCTATGTTTTTTTAATTTATATTAGCAGGCTAACAAAGCAAATAGTCTTGGAAGCGTTCGTTGTCGAGTCCTAGGTTGTTTTTATAATAGCACTGAAAAATGTTTTTAATTTATAAGAAAATTAGCTAAATTGTTCCAGCTATTCTCGAGTGTAAGCGAGACAAACGAATAGCAATTGACTTTTATATAATCGGATATAGTTTATTGTATAAAAAATAGCATTCAGTTAATCTTAAAATATGAAACATGAATTTTTCATTGTTTTCTGTTTCATCATTTCACCATTTTAGTTTCATAACAATGACTTGATATAGGTATGACATCATATTAAAATAAAAAAAAAATAAAGTATCGGTGGCGGCATCAGTGGTTGGATTTAAAACTAAAATTCTTTGAGCATAACCTCTGTAACCTTAAGGTGAAGCTTCAAGGTTTCATTCTTCTGAACTGTCGATAGATGACGCTAGTGGTCTGTTGAGAAAAAATTGAATATTTTATTTTTTATATCAATGAAAACGCTTATGATAAAAGGCCTGCAATTAAATATTATAAATGTTACAAGAAGAAGAATACATTAAATATTTCTTGTTTTTCGAAAATTTTGTCTTTTGAAGGAACAATCCTAATTGCTTACTTCAAAAGAACCTAAAAACTACAAAAAATCAAAGACCATTTGATTATTTGAAGTTGGGCGAGGATTGGTCATGCTACTAACCTCTATATTTGAATAAATATTATTACAGTAATAATACTACAGTAATACTTCAAATAAACTACAGTAATCATTTTTAACTTATCAATAAAATATTATTGTCTATTTATTTGAATAAGAGGTGAAACGCTACGAGTTACTACGACGTGCTACGAAAATACTACAACATGAGATCGTAGCTATAAGGTAAAGTCCATTAAGATGCTATCAGACTGATTAAATAAAAGAATTTAAAAAAGCAGTTACGAAATATAAATACAAAAAGAAATATTTCGTTATTAAATCCTTATATAATTGGCTTTAATAATAAGTTCTTGCACAAACTATTGTTTAATCGCGCGTGTGTGTGTATAAACATAATGACGGTACGTCTAGAATGCTATTTAGTTACTTAGTATTCATTTATTCCAACCGACGATACTTTGATGACAGATTTTTTTATAATAGCTAGGTGCTAAATGGGCTAAGGTAACAAGATGGATGTATCAAAACTCTAGATCATTTAAGAATTTAAGTGTCCTCCTGTTATCTAAGTTATTTATTGCTTCCTTCATAATTTATCAGGCTGTCCTCGACCGGCTCGGTGTGGAGATTGCTTAGTGCGCTATCAAAGTTTTCGTTTGTGTCCAACATTTACTTTCGAATTTTGAACGTTCAATTGCCTAACGCCTACTCTGTTTCGTGATCATGAGAACTATGAAAAGATATTTAGGTCGTCCCTATAGATGGAAGTGTGAATCGAAAAGGAAGAAAAACCCACCACGAGGGTTCAGTTCTTATAAGTGGGTATTAACGACTACAGATACAGCAGGGACCAACCTTTCTTCCGAAGCACGGAAGAGCTTCTCGGTAATAAATTTTAGGTCACCTTTCCCATGAGTGGCCATTGTGAAAGCTTAGCAACCGTATCGCAGACCGAGCGCGCTAACCACTGCGATATCTAGCTCCTTCTTTAACTTAATACTAATATTTTATAAACACATATAATTCATAAATAAGGAACTCGGGCTATACACATTTATGTCGTCCGGCAAAAAAATTATAAACTATTCTATAGGTATAAAAAGCGCAGACAAATTCTGAGAATAATCGCATCTTACTACTTGCATGTTGCCACGGTATTATCTGCCTGAAGTCCAATATATAATTATATATGTCGCCAATGATGTGTGAAGAAGGCATTGCACTAATAATATCGGACTTTAGATAGTACAATGGCCCGCAGTGCGTTTTGGCGGGATCGCTTTGCCTTGGTGCATATTAAGTACAAGGTGGTGCAACGCCCTCTTAGTGGGTGTCGTTGCCGTTCAACAATAAACTTTAATAGTTATGTTTAATTCATTAAGACAGCGTAAAGTTTATGTAAATAAAAAGTTTTTAAACTAATAAACAATGAAGCTAGCTAATAATTAAGTATATTCTACAAGAGGAATGTAATTATATGAACTTTGGATTATAAAGACTTTTGCTTTCTGTGAATCTTAATTATAATCTTAATCTTAATTTAATCTATATTAATATTATAAAGGGAAAGATTTGGTTGTTTCCTTATTTATTTGTTTGCACCAAATAAGCTCCAAAACTACTGGACCTATTTTTAAAATTCTTTCACCCACGGAAAGCTACATAAAAAAAAATTTGGGCGAAGTCGCGGGAAATGCTTGGTTATATGGATATATAATATATAAAAATCACGTGTCACGATGTTTGTCCACGATGAATACTTAAACTACTTAACTAATTTTAATGAAATGTGTATAGAAGATCTAAGTTCTGAGACAAGATTTTTTTCAAATTGTTTACAATTGTAATTATTTTAATAAATGTCTTATACTCTATTGTATACGTTAAAATTTCAGAAAGATGTGTGTTAGTGCTTGTTATAATTCCCACCAATTTAAGTTTAATTCATGTGACATTTAATTAACTTAGACTTCCACAGTATATAGCTAAAATATAAACTGCGATATCAACCCAATCTATCATACCGCTTGCCGAATGTTAATGACAAAAATTTAAATAACCGAATTTCCCTCCAAAAACCAGGGCAGTTTAGTCGTATCAATTTTCTTGCAATTAGTCTCCTTATCGATGGTGGAGGAAAACAGAATTTCGTTTGTGCGTAATCAAAATGTAAATATTCGAGTGCGTACGAAGGAGGCGGGTCTTATCCTGCGACCTACATCTCGAGGAAGGCCGCGACCTCGTCTTATGTTCTACACGACATTTCGTACAAGCGGCCCTCACGTGGTGGTCAGCAATTAAAAGACACGTTGTATAATAATAAAACACAAGATGTATGTCAAATGTCTGTGTGCTGTATTCGATATAAGCATGAAAATTGGATTTTATTAAAATAAATTAAATATGTAAATTTTGGATGGTAAAACACTGTTTTGATATGCGATCTCCAACTCTAAATTTCTCCAACGAACATCTTACTAATAAAGGCGAAAGTTTGTTACTTTTTCACGCAAAAACTACTGAATGGATTTAGATAAAGTAACGGTATACGGATAATTCTAAGCCTGGATTAACATATTGGCTACTTTTTTCCGTTAAACAGTTTCCTAGGCACCACGCGGGCCAAGCTGCTGGCAGAAACCTAGTTAGCATCTTTATAAAACATTAAGATACGCCGCGTGAACCACTAAACCGAGTTACCTTGAGATAGGACAGAAGTTACTATTTATTTTGTTAGAAAGGTTAAAAAAGGGAATTAAAGTTTGTATGTTTAAAGTATAATAATTAAACTTTATATTAAGGTATTTTACATAATAAAATGAACAAATACTTGTTTTAGAATTATGGCAATGCTGCCCAAAGTAACATACCACGTGGAAGAAGTCGCGGGCAAAAGCTACTTTATTTATAAAAACTTTATTGCAAGCAAAGTACAAACGACAGAATTAATGTTATGATAAATTCTCTACTAGGTTAATGGTGACATATAGGTAATAAAGCAGCAATAGGGAATACATATATAAGCGAAACATATATGTCTGAAACATATACAAGTGAGGAATAGGTACTATATTTTGTATATATATTATTTACATTTTCAATGCTTCCTGCATTTACCGTAATACGAAAATAATCATATACCTACTACATAGCCTTACAGAAATTAATTATATATTTGTTTTTATGAAACATTGCGAATCAATTATTTGTATTTAGCTTTCATAAGGTTTTTATTAAATTACTAGCTTTTGCCCGCGTCTCCGTCCGCGTGGTATAGTTACTTTGGGCGGCATATATTTTCCAAAAACGCTGTTGATGATGTTATTACCTTCATGTTTAGGTTCGAAGATACTACATCAAATATCCAATATGTTTCACCACTTTATCTTTGAAAACTGTAGAGATATTAATCCAATCCAATTTGAAATACAGATGAAAAAACAGGTCTGAAATTTACACAAAACTTAATCGAAAACGTTATCTACGCAAAATTCTTCGATAGAAACATTAGCGCAGATTTATTTAGTATAAACGCCATCTATTATAGTAAAGCTTAATTATTAAATTATGAATTAAGTGCCGTTGAAAGGACTAAGAACTAAGCTTTTTAAACCTGTTAAAATGCAGAAAAGTACTAAACGTTGCCCACTTACCTTAAATGTTTTGTATGATGACACGACGTATGAAGCACCGTCCTCCAATTCCTCAAGCCGATATTTCCTGTCGCCGTCCATGCCGAAGATAAATCGGGCGCCCCTCGGCAGCTCCAGCCTTTCTGACAGACGATCCAACAGAACGTCCAAGGACACGAGGTCCCTACCAGGCTTAAAACGGAACTCAACTCCTGGATGAAATGGATCCCCATTTCTATAGAAAGTAACTCTACGGGCTTTCCAATAGTTCAAATTGGCGTATCGACTGGTCGGCTCCGGTCTTACTGGTCGGTTGGTTATTTCGGAGCCTTCCGAGATGTCGTCCGGTCTTTGCGGCGGAGAAACCGGGCGGGAAGGTCGCCAGTCGCCCGGTTCTCGTTCTTCATCGGACGGCTGGTTATCCGGTTCGGGTTGCGGCGGTGGATCGGGTTGCGGTGATGGTTCAGGCGGGGCCTGCGAACGCACGCGCGGGTTAGGGCGGGCGCGGTTCTGCGGACGACGCGACATGTCCGGCCTAGCGACCTACCGGCGGTCGACTGGACGAGACCCCCGTTTTCGCCATGCCACATATATTACAATCAACTGGATACCTAGACTAGGCTTATATTTTAAGAGATATGATACATTCATGAAGCTTCCTATGATGATCTTATCACCATTAATGATAGATTTAATGAACGGCTTAAACAGATAGCTAGTGATAAAAGGGATTTGCTGTAAAAACATTTATCGAATCAAAAATCTATATAAAATACTAAAATTGTGTTTTTTTTTCTTTATAAAAATTAATAAAGAAACAATAAACACAATATTTATGTCATGTTATTTTCCCAAATCATTAATGCACATAAATTATAAGGCATAATTTTAAAGAATATTATTTTTCCACTAGTGAAATGCTAGTCATCGTAAGATATCGAGATAAGGACTAACGAGCTGACCCTCGTAGAATGACTAAGTAATTCTAGTCACGACTCACGAACCACCCCTTTATGTCTTATGAAGTTTACTTATGATTCACAAATATTCGACTAAAAAAAACTGTATATCATTGACTTGATGAAAGTTAATATGATTTGCTTCCGTCTATAATTAACATAAAAAAAGACAAATAATTATAATGTATCTCACCACAACGGCAGCAGACATTGGCTCCTCCGTGGTCATTAAGACACTTACGAATAGTTCATATAGTCCACAAGTACACTAGCGAGAGAATTAAAATTCAATTGCGACTTAAAATTCAGCAAGTACTTTATATACAGTCCGAAATGTTCGCGGGAAAAGCGACCACCGACGTCGGGTTGGAGCGGCGTTGCGGTCTTTGCTCTATAAGTCACTGACGGTCGTTTCCGGAGCTTTACACATAAAGAACTATAGAAGTCGCACTTCGTTATAATGCCTAGAAGACATAGTGAGTGTCTTGAATCTTAAATAGCGGTATATTGATTGTTATGGGTGTATGATATGAATGCGCAGCGTAGTCGTCCGGTTATGTTTTGTGAACGGAACCGAGTGACGGCTGTACGAATGGAAAGCAATGTGCGGGGCAGCGGCCAGCGCACCCGTGTGCGTTATAATAGCGGGACAAGGAAATTGTGAATGTAATTAATATGAAAAGAGTTTCAGCTTTCAATTTTTTTCCGACTTATGAAAGGGATGTACATTTATAGAATACATCTTTTTATTTGTATTACTTTAATAAAATAATAAAAAGAATCAAGAAAAAGGAACTAATATTGATTTCGACGTTCCCAACCAATAACTCGGTAATCGAACAATTAAAACTTTACAGGAGAATAGATATACTGATTTTAACGAATATCTTTTCAATGAGTGGGAACTATTGGAGTCACTGATGTATCAAATGAAACTTATTTTTTTGCGTTATATAACTGCGCTATTAGTATGAATTTTTCGTGATTAAAAACTTAGTTATTTATAAAAACCATAAAAACTAAAATGCTATAAGGAAAATATTACAGTTATAATGTTTATAGGGTTATTGCAATAATTTATAAAATAAAATTTTTCGTAATATCATTTATATAATTCCGTGAAAAAGTTGTGTAAAAAGTTACTCTGTGATCATGGCGCTTGCAACAGTGGTATCCCGAAATTAAAAATAGTCATAACGTTTATGACAATAACAGTTTAAAACAACAAACATTCAACATAACATTACCATATGATTTTAAAAGCACTAATATAATAACTCACGATAAGGATCCTGCTGAAATAACGGACACCAGACCGTCGGTCAACAGGCAGTATAGCGTGTCTATATAGGTTAAACTCTATAATATTTTTCACGTCTCTCTACTGCCTGTGGATTTGGTTTTATGAGTCCCAATTACTTCTTATTATTCTATAGCCAATGCGATCTGTTTAATATACACATTCAAATGCGCTTTGTCTTAGCTTTTAAATGATGCAAACATATTTGTTTTCTCTATTAGACAAAATCAAACATTTATTTATCATACAACAGTAGTAGTAAGAACGTTAGGCCAATTAAACGTTTACTTATTATACAAAAGTATTGGTAAGACTCTTAAACCATTAACATTAAAAAAATATTAAACGCTGTCCTTTTTTCAATGATAAAAATGTATTATTATTTTGTATAGAAAAGAATACAGCTTTTTAAGATATGAGTAATATATATGAAATAAACATTCATTTATATGAGTCAACTTTGGTAATTACGTTCGAAGTTAATGTTAGCGTGATTTCATCGTCCAATCTAAATAGTAATCATACTGAACTAAAGAACGTTGTAGATTTATAAGTACAAGTGAAGAACAAGTGTTGAGAATAATAATTATAAGGTTCTATATACAAACTAAATTAAGTGAAAACTTTATAATGAACATTTTAATTTTATTTACAATATTTATAGTAAAAGGAACACTGATTCTCGATATTTCTTCATTCTTTTAAAATATTAAACTTGGTTGTATAGATTTATCGTTCCGAAAACTTCCTGCATACTAAATTTCCTGGTAATGGTAATTAAATTTAAAAGTATTATACATAGATAGATATACCAAGCAAAATTAGGAACAGTTAAAATTCTGCAATGATCATAAAAAATGACTTAGCTAATATTTTGTGTAAATAACCACTGATTTAAAATATATCGAGATTTATTATATTTATAAAGAAAGATAGTTTGCGAAGCTTAGCTTTTTGATATGAAAAATAATTACCAGGCTATTAATGTTAGAGCTTGCGTATGGATAGAAAGAAATTAAGAAGAGGTAATTTAAAAATGTTAAAGGCCATTATAAAGGCCCAATGCGAATTGGTGAGTTTTAACGAGTGCACAAGCAGCCGGGACTAGCGGCTTAACGTTCATTCCGAAGCACGAAGGAGATTATATATTTTTAATTGTCCATGCCATGACTGGCCCATGCGAAAGATGCTATATTTATATAGATAGTTGATTGTCCAGAATTGTTAGATATCATTAAATTATCAGTCCCTACAAGGTCGCAGAGATATTACCGACCTATAGCGGTTCCCACGTCATATACAAATTATAGACAGAACAGCTTTATTGTTAGGGCCAGCGTAAGCTTAAATATGATGCTTGATGAGTGTGGGTATGGTGTTAACATCTTTGATTGAAGATTTAATTCTTTTAAGCGCAAGCTTATAGAATACTTACTGTATCATTAGTTAATGGCGCAGATACGATTATTTATTTGATTGTGTGGTTTGTGCGTGAAATAACTGATTAAATCTAAGCTATATCTATATGTGGAAACCTATAATTGGCTTGTTGTTTGTTATGCCAAAATATATCTTATTTAATTAGCTTATTAGTTTTTTTTCCAAGATAATAAATATATAAATAACTGCATCGTAGACCGAGCGTGCTAACCACAGCTTCATCGAACTCGTCGTATGAATAAATGTAAAATATCTAATAATGTGTCTATAGTACTGTCGTCGAATGGAAAGCAATCCGCACGTTGATCTTTGTGCTTATTAATAGATATCTTAAACATTTTAGGACCGTTCTACTATGACAAAATTGGGTAGATGCATCTGTGCGAGCGCAATAGCAATATGCCGCATCATTGTACGACCTCTTTTCTGCGACCATGTTATAAAAGTCCCCTTATATTATTGCCAGTAATAAATATCGTCGACCGAAGTGTAACGCAAAGAATTTGCAAATGCTCTCAATTGATATCGAATAGATTGAAGTAAAAAGCGTTAAATTATTATTATTATAAGCAGAATTTTACGACTGAGTTCTGATAACGTGCAAAATTATATAGCATTAAGCTATTAAAGTTTATTTGCGTTAGAAGTAATTGTATGAAGTGGTAATGGCTTAACTACAAGAAATTGGACGTTCTTGTAGAATTCTTGATATTACTCAGTTCATTAACACATATAAAAAATATTAAAAAATAGATTTACTGGAAAAACTAATTCTACGTAGACGTATTTATGGGTTAACACTAGTTAGGGTACTTATGATTTAAAATATAATTAATTACAGACATGTTCATCTCCGAGTATACATATAAATATGCGTTAAATAAACTGTGTATTTTATTTTCTTCTTTATTTACATAAATATATAACTACTGCGACTTGATGTGTTCGTGTCGCCGACACCTAATCACATTTTTTTTCAGCTCGACTGGCCATTGCTTTATAAATGGTTGCTTGTTAAATCGTTTACGTGATATTTTGCTATACTTGACCTAGATAACTATAAGTTTAAACATGCACAGTTAATAATTTAATTGTCTCTATTACTTTGTCGCAGCATGTGACTACGGTTCGTAGACGACGAGAATTAGTCGTAGCGCGAGCTACGACGAACGTAGCTGCCTTGCAATTCTGTATAAATCCAGACCCGAATTCGTATTCACTAACGTATCCGAATTCAGTATACAAATTCTATTGATTCCATTTTTTTGTATCAAAATACAAAACATAATTGATTGACGATATGACTTAGGAATATTCTGATACTATCTATTCCTTTGTCATTTCGTAACTCACTCCAGTTATGCCACAGAACATTATTACCAATTCAAGATTGAGCCGATGCCACTATTTGAAGTGTATTCGGACACCTGAGTGAATTCGAAATCGTGTATGGTTTTTTAGAGAATCCCAGGACTGCAGGGACCGATACGATTTACGATAGGAATTAGGCTGGGATAAGAAAAGACTCTCCTTATCTATCTTATTGCACCTGGCTTTTAGATATATAGGAACAGAGAGAATGGCTCAAAAGACAATTTTTATTTAATTACTTTACAATTATGGCAAATGTGTTGCATAAAACCCTCGGTGACGTGCAAATTTTATCAATTTTTCGTATAATAACGAGAATAAATGATAAATTGGTGAATTTTAAAGTTTACTCTTTGATTTTTTCTATCGAGAAAATTTTATAACTTCACGTTTTGCCTGTGTTACAAACAAACAAACAAAATATTAGAGGAGCTCGATGGCGCAGTGGTTACGCGCCT